CGATGAACTCCTAAACTACTAAACTGATTGCAATGAAATTTTGAACACTGTGTGCAGTTTAGTCCAACTTGAGAGATAGGATAGTTTTTATCCCGATACGTGACCTCAATATTTTTTTATTGCGAATATAAGGATTTTTTAATAGGACAGAGGGTCGTCGGTATGAGCAGAACGTCTGCCTGGCCAGCTACTTATCTAATAAATAGTTACATTAAAACTACATCCCCTATTCTTACACTGGACGGGTGATTTTTTTTTCAGTTCACAATTGACGTAACAAACATACAAAAACATTCAGTTGATTGTAACCTCCTTCTTTTTTGTAGTCGGTATATAAAAAATATTAAGGTCGTCGAGATAAAAATAATAATTTTAAATTTAAGTGATAATTATAATGAGTGTTTTTGTAATTCATTAAAATTTAATATTTTATAAGAATTATTATATGAAATTAAAGTAACTTGATGCTTAGATAATGATTTCTTATATTTACGCGAACACTACACATTTAATTAAAACCAGTTTCTATGGATTTTTTCACGTATATTAACTTATTTTATATTCCCGACGTTTCGGTCACTTTACAGCACCCATGGTCACGGGGGGGACTGAGGTGTTGGACGTCGCAATGTCATAGTTAACCACGGCTATCTCCAGATTAAAATTATTAATTTTTGTTCCGATCTTAATTATGATGTTCAGTATGCTGCGTAGATCATAATTATTCTACAATATCACATCATTGTTTGTTTCACACCGCCATTTTCTTCGTTGCTATTTCCATCTTGTTATCATAAATTGTCATTGTACAGAACGACATTATTTTCTTTTATTAACTTGTTTAAATTATTTTTACAAAAATTAAGCAATAGTTCTAGCATCATAATTCATGTTCTGCCACAAAAATTATGCAAAAATAAAGGTGTAAGGTTCAAATCTCACGAGTGGAATAGAATAGAATAGAATAGAATATTTTTTTTATTCAATATAGATCACATGTGTAATTCTTATTGAAAGTCATTTTTTACTTTACCACTGCACTGGTTCGATAAAAAAAACCTCTATCCTGGGAAGAGCCAGCAAGAAACCCAGCGGCACTTTTTTTTAAAAGCATATTTTACATTAATGGTTGTACAAATAAGTACAAAATTTATTTTAGAAACAGCTTGGAAGCGACCACCTCATTCCCAGGGGTTATTATCAACCAAGTATTCATTTATACTACCTCAGCGGCACGGAATCTTGGCCAAGCGGTTATCTCGCGATAGCAAAAGCTTTAAGTGTTTCTGATGAATGTTTGTTATGCAGGTATGTCAAAAAATGTTTGCTCTCAAGTTCAAGAGGGTAATTCATTATGTTTAAGTGCACCATGACGAATTCTTTAATTTTTAGTTGAATCGGGTCATTTGAGCGACTAAGTTCACATTTAAAATTTGTGTGTTGTGAAAAGTTTACTGTAAGGTTATTCAATTATTGTGATCTTGTGTCTTAATTCAATAACTAAAGGTGCTTTAAAGCCAATAAAAATGCCATTAACACCAGCACAAGTTGCACAAGCAGTAGCATTAATTGACCAAGGGCTGACACAGCGTGAAGTTGTTATATTAACGTACCACGGTCCTCAATGCAGTATTCACTGAAACGATACCAGGAGACAGGACGCTACACCCGCAGGCCAGGCAGTGGGGGCGTAAGGTGCACATCGGCCCGGGACGATCGTTTTATTGTTATGGAGATTTTGAGAAACCGCTACCTGACCGCTGTTGAGATACGCCAGCGGCTCCAAATCGCAAGAGGCGTTAATGTTAGTGAGCGTACGGTGAGAAGACGAATGGAGGAAGTGAATTTAAAAGCTCGTAGACCAGCACGAGGTCCAGAACTTCTCAGACAGCACCGAGTAGCCCGACTTCAGTTCGCAAGAGAACATGTCAATTGGACCCACGAGCAATGGGCTAGAGTGTTGTTCACAGATGAGTGTCGAATAGCTTTACGTGCTCCAGACGGTCGAGAACGAGTGTGGAGAAAAAGAAGAGAGAGGTTTCTACCCATTACCACCACCCAAACTGTGAGTTTCCATGGAGGCTCAATAATGGTATGGGGAGGTGTAAGTTCCGACGCACGTACAGAGTTGGTCATCGTCGATAATCGGCTTACAGCTACTCGATACATCGAGGAAGTTCTTCAGGAGCACGTGATTCCTTATTCGGGATTCATTGGACACGACCAATTCCTCCTCATGCACGATAATGCACGCCCGCACGTCGCACATTGTGTAGAGGAATATCTGGAAGAGGTTGGAATACAAAAATTACAGTGGCCAGCTCGTAGCCCGGACTTAAATCCAATTGAGCATGTATGGGGTATGTTCAAAAGAAAGATAAAGTCCAGCTGCAAACCGCCACAAACTCTAAATGAGCTCCGAAATGCAGCGCTGGCCGCTTGGGACAGCATACCGCAAGTTGATGTCAGAAACATCATTCAAAGCATGCCAGATCGAATGCAAGCGGTTATCAGGGCTAGGGGAGGAAACACCCGATATTAAAACTGATAGACAATAAAGAAACAGACTTAATTTTTAACTTTGTAGTGTTTTTAAAGTGACAATGGAAAGATGTTAATTTTAGTGAAAACATGTTATCTTGAAAAGAAAAATTTCGGTGAAGTAAACATTAAATTTCTACGTTCTAAAACCATTAGAGACACTTATTGAGTGCATCTACCCTTAATTTACTGTTAAAAAAACGTTTCAGTGCAAATAATCAGCAAATTCACGAGTGGCCAACTTAACAAAACATTTAAACTTGGTAATAGTAGCAACTATTGGTTTACAAACAATTGGTACTAGATGTTTATTCCATGTGCAATATAAATATGTAAGTATGAACACTTCCACGGTTTAGAAATTGTTATTGTGATAACGTTTTCGAACTAAAAAAAATATATCGATGTAACAAAAACGTAGATATTTAACATAAGATATGTGAAATAAATTGTATCGCAAAGCTCGATGATATTGATGCATCGATGTGCCATCGAAAAGAAATAAACATGAAAGGCTCCCAATTTTTATATTATCTAAAATCCTATCTATAAGACAAATGAATACACGGTCCACCTGATTTTAAGTAAATGTTCTAGCCCATAGACAGCTACATTGATCATCGATTAAGAATCAAAATTCATATGCATTGTTGTCACCCCTGGAGTCTAAGATGAAATGCCTCGTTACAAGTAAAATGGTCTCCTGTTCTCTGCACTCACATAACGAATCACGGCAGCATTTTGCTGCTACACTGCTGCTAGCACGTTGGTGTTCTGTGAAAACGCGATCCCTCCCCACTCTGGCCAAATCATTCGTGCTGCACAGTAATACAACTACAGCGTAGCTCTAGCACGTAGATGCAGCGTGATTCTACCACCTAATGTGATATGGCCGACTTCCTTCAGTGATGTGCTTGTTTTGATTATTATTTGTTTCATCGGATATCTTTATTACGATTGCTCACGATTATAACAAATAGTCGTAATTTCAGTGTTCTAGTACGTACATATGTACAGTGCCAGTGATGACATTTGAATTGACATATTACGACTGCTGGCCGCATGAGGAAGCCCATGATATCTCAGTTAGCTATGGAGAGGGCTCTGCTCGGAGTTTCTTTGCGTTTGTAGACTTAGAAATGGATATATCCGCAGTAGAACCAGAGTAACCGACATAGCCCGAGGGATCAGTAAGCTGAAATGGCAGTAGGCCGGCCATATAGCTCAAAGAACTGACAGCAGCACTGAAGAGAGATTCTCGTGTGGCAGCCACGTACTGGTGAGCGAAGTATGTGGTGGTCCCTCACTAGATGGAGTGACGACCTGGTAAGATATGCATGAAGTCCATGAATGCAGGATCGTGCTTTGTGACATTCCTTGGGAAAGGGCTATGTTCAGCAATGGGCTTGTGATGGGCTGTTATGATGATAACGATGATGACAGTTTTAAAAAATAAACAAAAGGTTGAATTTTTATATATCTTAACATGCAGTACCATATACGGAATATACGGAACTATTTCTTTTACTTTTAGAGTTAACCTCAGAGGATAAAAGCTTTGGAAAATCAAGGTAAAATTTTTTTGACTGCCTTGTTAGTCCAGTAGTCCTAAGCATAACTGTTGATCATCACGGTTCGTATCCCGGCTGCGACTAAGTTCAGTTATTGGGTTTTCTGTTAAGAACTTGTCAGTAGCAGCTATGTGTCACGAATTTGGCGTGTCAGGAGGTGGCCGTCTGGCCGTCTCAACGGAGACTGGCCGCCACGAACCACGATCGAATTCGGTCGGGAACGTAGAGGGAGTAGTCGGGAAAACATTATTACCACAGATAACAATTGATAATACAGATTATTAAAATGGCAATGCGGCGTTAGATAATTTATAGACCCTTTTCACCCTTTGGGTTTCGTAAGAGACTACTACTATATGAAATGCTTAAAAAATCATATGACTTCCGATTCCGGAACATGGCGACTGTATCACTATCTCGTTTACCGTTACAACCTCCTACATATAGCTCTACATTGGAGAGAATATTTGCCATAGTTGCGACGCTTGGCGGATTAACAGTCCCATTTTTTATTTTAGTTCTTCTGGTTTAATTCCCTCTGTCGCTTCTTACGGCACCGATGGGGCACATTTAGGCCGGACCGGTAATGGGTAGCATAAAATTATAACGTTAACAAAGATCTTAGAATTGAAAAAAAAAGGGTAAATACCTACTACAATGCACGCTTGAAATTGCGCACTAAAATGGTATCGTCAAACAAATACGAATATAAATAAAATGGTTGGCTGACTTTGAGATGGACTGCAGCACTTGAATTTTTTTAACAAGAAGAGGTTAAGGCGGGATTGCTATATAAGTCGTAAGATGTTATGTTTTGTATTATTCGCAGACGTAGCTCGTACCTAGTTCAACATATTCTAAAATTGTAACAAATCTTCTTATACCAAAATGGTGAAGTTTTTGGTAAGTACATAATAAATAATTTGTATTTTATAAACAAATTGTGTAAATGTAACTTAAAAATTATAACTTGTAACAGCTTTTCAATAGACTTCATATTTTCAGATCGTTGCTCTAGCGTTGGTAGCAGTAGCAGCTGCAAGGCCTGGTAAGTTATAATACGTGGATTGAATCTCTTTGATTAAATAAATTGCATATTTTATGTAAGCCCAAACATAATATCTTTCTTTAGTCCTTTCATGTTTTTTCCCGATATGTGACATAGTAACCATTCATAATCGCAGTATTAAGTCTGATTTAACAAATACTCGATGATAAAGAAAAACCTTGTAAGGAAACGGCTTGATAATGAGTAATGACATGGAGCAATTGGCTGAAGCGCTGTGGGCTCGCGGGTTCGAATCCCACACGGAACAAATATTTATCTATGACCTACAAATTTTTCCTCGGGGCTGGATGTTTATCCATGTGCAATTTATAGATATACATAACGATAGATATATAAAATATAAAACGCCCCACGATTAAAGAGAAAAGCTTATACTGTGGGGGGTAATGCTTTTTTTTAAATATAATATAAACCTATAATTTTTTTTAAATATAAATATAACGCAAACCCCTATTTGAATTGACGGAGACGTTTGTCTAGTAGAAAAAAATATACTGAACCTTAATTTTATTTTCATGTTGTTAATATTTGTTTGTAAAAATAAAATAACTTTGAAAAGTTTTTTTTTTAATTAATTTAAGAAATTTTGGAATGTTTCATTACAGCCCACAGTTAACTACATAATAGAACAGCCCCCAAAAGTGAAACATAGGCCACCTCCATAGGTTGCGTCATATTTACCAATATACCACACAGTGTAACAATGGTAGAGCCACGCGGCAGCTTTTGCTGTCGCACGGATGGGCTGGCTCGAACCGGGGTGGTAGCACGACCTCACAGAAAACCAGCGTGAAGTAGAGGTTTACCTCTGCGTTTCGCTTGGTGAGCGCAGGTGGCCGGAGGCCCTTTTTACTGGAAATGAGGCATTCCATCTTAGTCCTCACGGGTGACTTCTAATAGAGGATAGATGTAGATGTCTATGGGCCGCAACAACCACTTACCATCAGGTGGAATGTGTGCTCGTTTGTCACCCTTATCCTATAAAAAAAAAACATGCTTACCATAGTTGCTACATTTTAGCTGACATCAGAAAGATGCTGGTTCTCCTGTTTCATTTTCACCTGTTGCCTCTTACGACACGGGATGACAACACCGCCTCTACACGCTTGAATAGATACATACTATTGAATAGATAAACACTCACGCCTGTCAGACGGGTAGGCAGAATACGGACTTCCATTTGGCACGATCCTGAAACACCTCTCTCGCCGCCTATACGCATACATGCTCGTCGGTTAAGGGTACCTACACTTAATTTGCCCCACTTTCAATATATCCCCAATTTGGTCGATAAACTTTCGCCTAGGGCGACCATTCCAGACTCTGCCGTTCACTTCTGCAACATAAATTTGCTTTGTCACTCTTTCCTCGTTAATTCTTTTTACATGAAGAAACCACCGAAACATACCTTTCTTAATCCTGGTCCCAATACCATCTTACAAACAACATTTTACTCTTATCGTATCACACTATTTCTCACCCCAATCATTCTGATTCAGTCCTAATAATTATATAGTATTAATGACCGCATTTCTACAGCATTTATTCTACTCTCGTGCTTCTTCTGCCAGACCCAACTTTCACTACCATAAATTAAATTTGGGACTAACAAAGTACTGTAAATAATAATTGTAAGTGCCTTTTTTGAGAGAGACTTTCCACAATAGAGAGCAGAACCCCATGTACTCTATTTCCTGCGTTCACACGTCGTTCATGTTTGGAATATTATAAAACTTTGAATTTATTCAAGCACTTTATACTGCACACAATATGACCCTAATAAAAAGATTGTATGTAGAACGTGTTATTGGTTCATATCTTACATTATTAATAGGTCTTCGCGCGTTCTGAGCACGGAAGGTTCATATTATTCTGACTTATTCTAGATATACTTGATTCTATTTACTATTTTATTATTTTTTTTACATCGAATAGAATTATTAAGAACACTAAAATTCGTAATGGTCTATGATGCGGCTATCACTATTAATTAAAGATTTTCGTGCATTATGTGATAACACTACGCTGGTGGATCACACGCGTCAAAGACTGGAACTAATCGCAGTCGATGATGGATAATATCATAATTTCAGACTTGAACGGTGGATTTGGCGGCTCAGGAATTGGCTACGGCCGCGGCGGTTTAGGCCAAGTAGGTGGATTCGGTTCCGGCTTTGGCGGCGGACTTGGTGCCGGCCTTGGTGGCGGACTCGGTTCCGGCTTTGGTGACGGACTCGGTTCCAGCCTTGGTGGCGGTCTTGGTTCCGGCCTTGGTGGCGAACTTAATTCCGGCCTTGGTGGCGAACTTGGATACAGTGGCGGTAACGGTTTCGGTGGCGAACAATCTGGTTTCGGCGGCGGCTTTGGATCTGGACAAGGAGACCGCGGCTTCGGAGGACAAGGCGGCCAAGGTTTCGGCCAAAGTAGCAGAGGTTACGGCAGAGGTGGAGTCGGTCAGGAAGGTGTTGGATATTAAAATATTTTAATAATATTGAAATAATTTGATGTCACCTTAAAATTGTGCAATCTGTTATATAAAATAAATATATGTTATAAAACGCCTTAATAATTGCGTTTAACTTTATTTTAGTTGTCGAACTCCTTTTCTGTTCAGGAGTTCGTCTGGGTTAACCACCAACCGACAATGGACAGCGTTATGGCCCGATTTTCAAACGAGATCAAAAAAGGAAGTTCTCAATTTATCGGAATCTTTTTTTTATGTATGTTCACCGATTACTCAAAGACGTCTGAATCGATTTGGAAAATCCTTTTTTTGTTTACTATCACTACCATTAATTTTCTAATATAACTAAATGATTACGAATTCCGTAATATTTTAGTTATTTTATAACAGGTAATGTTAATACGGATTTCCAACTTTAATATTTATGACAGAAATTCAAATATTTAGGTGAAACAGTGACAGATACCAAGAACAAAATAGAAGTTATTCAAGGCGCTCCAAAGGAGTTCCGAGACAACCAACCAGCTTGACGGCAAGCAGGTCATATCATTTTACTTGCTCAAGCAGCCTGCCGCACATGTCATAGCCCCTTGGACAAGTACAACATCATCATCATCTGAGGCATTACAGCCGCGGGTGGGCCTTAGCCTGGTCCAGCAAAGCTCTCCAGTCCGATCTGTTAGAGGCTTTCCTTCTCCAACTTGTTATTCCCAAGATCTTGATATCTTGTTCGACGCCGTCCAACCATCTGAGCTTGGGCCTGCCTCGACTTCTGCGGCCCTCCGGTCGGCCTTGTAAAAGGCGTTTGGGTACTCTGGCCTCGTCCATTCGCAACACGTGTCCTGCCCAACGCAGGCGTCCGATCTTTATGGTCTTAATTACGTTTGGCTCATCGTACATTTGGTATAGCTCGTGATTATAACGCGTTCGCCATCTCTCATTTTCCATCACAGCTCCGAAAATGCGTCTTAGTATTTTCCGCTCAAATACCAACAAGGAGTTTTCGTCTTTTTTGCTTAGCACCCAACATTCGGAACCGTAGGTGAGCAAGTACAACACAAAGCATTATTTCCGATGGTCGTCTATTTACAGCAATGCTTGACCAAGCCGGTCGTTAACAATTCCAAATCGTCGCATCAAGCAAACAATATTTAAATCACATGTTTGATGCAGTGAAGCATGCTTGATGATTTTTTTTTATTCAATATACATCACATGTGTAATTCTTATTGAAAGTCATTTTTTACTTTACCACTGGTTCGAAAAAAAACCCTCTTCCTGGGAAGAACCAGCAAGAAACCCAGCGGGACTTTTTTTTAAATAAATTTTACAATATAAATGATTAAGAACTATTTACAAAATTTATTTTAGAAACTGCTTGGAAGCGACCACCTCATTCCCAGGGGTTATTATCAACCATGTATTCATTTATACTATAATAACCCTTTTTATACAGTTTCAGCTTAATACAACATTTAAACTTTGTAATAGAGAGAACCTGTACACTTTCCGGGACCTTGTTGTAATAGCGTATACATTGCCCCAAGAATGAATCACTGACTCTGTGGAGTCGAGAAACTGGCATCACTAGCTTGTGTTTGTTCCTAGTGTTTACAGAATGTATATCACTTTTTTTACTAAAACTATTTTTGTTTTTGTGAACATACATTAAATTTTCGTAAATATACTGAGAGGCCAAAGTTAATATATTTATTTCTTTAAATTTATCTCTAAGAGACTCTCTCGGTTTTAGATTGTAAATAGCTCTAATGGCCCTCTTCTGTAAAACAAAAATAGTTTCTGAATCAGCCGCATTTCCCCATAGCAAAATCCCATAAGACATTATGCTATGGAAATAACTAAAATAAACTAATCTAGCTGTCTCAACACTAGTGAGACCTCTAATCTTTTTTACAGCATAGGCTGCAGAACTTAGTCTGCTTGCTAATTTGGATATATGGGGGCCCCACTAGAGCTTTGCGTCAAGTGATGCCAAGAAAAACAGTGGATACAACAGGGCTCAATTCCTCCCCATTTAAAAACACTTTGGTATTTAGATTTTTAACATTCGTTGTTGTAAATTTAACACAATTAGTTTTATTTCCCTTTCCTTTTATTTCCTTTCATTTACAATGTTTACTCGTTGTTTGGGTCAAGCATCTACGAGCTTCCTTCAAGTCGCTTTACTTCCATAATAGTTTTCGTGTGTTTTAGCAATTTTTACGACATCCACCAGATTAAATACTTTATGTTCTTTTTGCGTTAACACTAAATTAAACAGGTTATACATAATGTAGTAGCATTGCTCAGACAGAAAAACAAAACTATATGCTTAGCACTAGGCAAATGGAGCAACCAACAAAATTAAAATGCCAATGACTCATGTTAATTACGTTGTAATATTATATGAATATGCAAATTAATGGAAATAGCGACGGAAAAAACTAAAACAGCTACGTGCACGACTGCATCGAAATAAATTTACGATTATAATATTATTCTTTTGCAAGGCCTTGTGGTCTATCTCTCTGATGTAATGGTTGATACTTCCAACATTCATGTTGAATGTCAATGTCAATGTCGCAAAAGAACTTGTGAGGTCATTAGCGAATTCATCGTAACCGCCACATAGGAAGAATAAGATTTGTTATTCTATTAAAATTAAAAACATCCTAATTTCAATAGAGAAAATTGAAACTATCAGATTTGAACAGAGAATATTCTGATACATTACCATGAACAGCCTTATTTTTTTTGTAAATCGCTAAACAAATGTCCATACCTCTGACTTCAATACCCATTCAAAACACACTTCAAGAAACAAAGGAAGCTTCGGTAAAATACTGCCTTAATTTTACTTCAGATATTTAAAAAAAATGAAACCACCTTTTGGAAAAACAATAGCATTTATTTTAATACAATTCTTTCTAAACAAATATTCTTAGACTTTCACAGTAATAAATTTGACATCCAGTCTGACTAACGAAGGCAACTCAACATGAAGCAACTTTGTATAAATGTATTTATTCCTTTGAGAAAAAACTACTTTTAGAAAAATACACGTCCTCAGTGCTTTGATCTCCTACACTATGACTGCTACATCATCTATGTGCATATTTGAGTGCTTGTGATAACTTACGGTTTAACAAATGCACCTTTAAATGATGTTCGTACCACATATTTGAGATTTTCAATCCCATTTCCAATCTGCGACTTGGTTAACATATCGCAAATAGCGTCAGTATAAATATATAATTTACAATCTAATATTTACAAATTCTAACAACTATATACACAGATCAATAATTTAACATAATATGTTTATACATAAATGTTTTTATCTAAGTCCCAACTAACGTTAAAGCATTTAAGAAGGTGAATAAACGAACACTGTCATAATTACGTGACAATAATCCAATTTTAGGGTAGTATTAAAAGATTTTAACTTTTCTTTATGTTAATACATAATATATAAACAAAATTTCCCATAATATATAGTATATCTCTTTACACCGTCAAATTACCCTGTCTCGCTAAGCTGTAGTTATTAATAAATAAATAAATAATTTATACTTTACACTCCTGTCAAACAAAACATTAATGAGCAAATATAACGATAACGAGAAAATATATTATTTAGAGTCAATACAACATTACATAATATACTGTTAAGATAATCGAAGCAATGCAAACATAGGATCATTGTCGCCTACATTTACAAATTATTTAAACATTATTGCTTTATAAATCATTAACCACTAAATAAAGTAGTTTTGTCAATTAAACACAATAATTTCAATATTTAAGCCGGTAAACACATCGGTTTAATTTCTCAAGCATGTCACACTAAAATAATCATCACTCTATACTAATACTAATTTTAAATAAAAATTATATAGACGAAGAAAAGAACAAAATTACAAGACCCGCCCTTGGATCAACAGTGCTAAGAAAAAATACAGATTTTTTTTTATTTAATCGAATAAAAGGGAGACAAGCGAGCACATAGTCTACGTTATGGTAAGTGAATGCTGTGTCCCATGGACATCTACATGTATCCTCCATTCAGAATCAAATTGCAGACGTTGTCACCCCTGAGGACTAAGATGGAATGCCTCTTTTCCAGTAAGAAGGGTCTCCGGTTCTCAACACTCACCATATGAAACGGCAACACGCAGTCTTCTGTTTCACACACACATACACACACACACATACACACACACATAATACAACCAAAATACAACGGCACACATTATACACATTTTTGCTTTTAAATATGGAAGTATTACTTCAAGGGAATTAAGCACGCAACATGGCACAATATTTCAAAATAATCAACAATTTATTCTATTTTATTACAACTCAGGACGCGCAGTCAAAAGTCGACCTTATCTTCCAAAAGATTTTGGTTTCAATTGCCATACGTCATATAAGTAGCCTACAACGTTTATTATATAACGTCAATGTGGTAGTCAATCGTCGCCAGGGACGTTTTATTAGATTTGTGAACAAAGTAAGGCACCTATCACAAATGGACTGAAATTTCAAACTGTTTTTAAAGAATATGGTAGACAGTATGCCTGATAGATTTATAGGCATATTTATAAAACGGCCAACTGCGAGTCGGGTTGGCTCTATGAGAATTTCATATGAACAATCAACTTTTTTTTTTCTAAAAATATTGGTTTGTTTAGGTAAAAGCTATGCAGCTTATACACAGAAATTTCAAATTCTTAATTTAAAACTGACCTTTTACGCGTTCAATTCTTTACGTATTTAACTTATGAGCTCTAGAATCTGTATTTTCTCTCAGCTTTGACGGTCTTTGAAAATCGTTGAATGGCATTTCAAGAAAATGTTATAAGCCCATTAAAATGTTTTATGCTCTACACTGTTTCAGTCTTATTCATAAAGTTCCCTTAAATCTCTCAATAGCGATAACGCTTATTGTGATTTCTTTACAAAATGGCATTTTGGGTTACTTGAGGGTATTTTCTACGTTTTTTATAGGAAAGGAGGCAAACGAGCATGTGGATCACCTAAAGTTAAATGGCTACCGCCGCCCATGAACAACTACAACACCAGGGAAATAGTAGGTGCGTTGGGCACCTTTTGACTTTTAAATAGGAGTAGGCTCTTCCTGAAAGTTCCTAAGCCGTATCAGCCGAAAAAATCGCCGGTGGTAGCTGATTCCACACAGCAGTCGCTACTTGCACCAATATCTATCATCTGTATTGCTTTTCTTCTGTTTATGTTATTTTAAAAAAATAAGGATTATCATAAAATAAAAATTACGAAATTAACATATGTCTCTTAAAATATTTATTTGTTTTTATTTTTAAATGTTATAAATTGTGCATCTACATTATGCTTTGGATACTGTTGCCGCAATATACTGATAACGGGCATGTTTACATACCGTTACGATAATATCTGCAATACAATAAGATGTTTTTCTGGCAAAAACATCGCACACAGTGCTCCTACAAAATGTTGTGTTTCTGTTGTCTCTGAAACTCATTTCTCGAAAGATTTGCCTGGTTAATAATTGAAACATTAATTATGTAAGTTATAACACAGAATACTTATTTAATCGTGTGATTGGTTATTCACGGATTTTTTTTAGTAACCAATTTTAAAGTGAGTTTTGATGTCATCATGAACATCGACGAACGAAACGTACTGCAGGATTTTGAAGCCCGTCTTGCGTGTCGCATTGGACCTTTTAGGAACTATTATATTAATAATTAGAACAGAAGAATTCAATTCAAATGAGGTATAATTGACAGATCTCATAGCGGGGAAGTATATAGAATAATTAAAACGAGTGTTCAAAATGTGTAAAAACTGAAGAGCATACCACTGAGGATTATATATATATATATATATATATATATATATATATATATATATATATATATATATATATATATACTAGCTGACCCGGAAAACGTTATTTTGCCATATACATTCTTTCTAGGAAATATTTTTTAGTTTTAAAAATTGCGATTTAAAAAAGGGGCTGATCGTAGAAGGGTGCAAATTTGAAATTTTATGTATTTTTCAATGCTAAATCATAATTAAATAAAAATAAAAAAAAGTTGTCAAAAAATTAAAAAATATTTAGGGGTAGGTCACCCTTATCATTTACGGGTTTGAAAAATAGATGTTGGCCGATTCTCAGACCTACCCGATATGCAAAATTTCATACAAATCGATTCAGCCGTTTCGGAGGAGTTTGGTAACAAACACCGCGACACGAGAATTTTTTTTTCATTTCATTACAGCCTTTCACAAGTCCACTGCTGAACATAGGCCTCCCCCAAGGAATGCCACAAAGCACGGTCCTGAGCCACCTGCATCCATCGACTTCCTGCATGTCTTACCAGGTGTCTACCGGTACGAGGCTGCCACTCGAGAACCTTTCTTCCCCATCGGTTGTCGGTTCTTCGAGCTATATGGCCGGCCCACTGCCACTTCAGCTTACTAATCCGTTGGGCTATGTCGGTTACTCTGGTTCTACTGCGGATATCCTCATTCCTAAGTTTATCACGCAGAGAAACTCCGAGCATAGCCCTCTCCATAGCTCGCTGATATATTTATATATATACGTTTATACGTATATAAAATACGTTTATTTAAAACGCAACTTTTCAGCACTGTGTGACCATCTATTGAAAAAAGTTCACCTCAGTCTCAACTATAGCAACATTTGATTAGCGGGAAATTATTAGCCCTCATTGATATACGCGGTACTAACCCGCAGAATCCATGACGGTTGGCCACCTTACTTATTAGTATTATTTGATAAAATTTCTTCCACGATTTTTATGAATAAGACTGTAAGTCTCTGCGATTTAACAATATCTTATTTTTTAATTATAATCTCATTTCATTTGGTTCCAGGATAGGGTCTGAACTAGAATAAACTTGGCATCATGTTCAAATTCATTATCATAGAACTGTAAACTTTAAATATAGGTGGGACAATGTTCTAAGCTTGTGCCACAAGCATCGCAAGCAGTCGCAGCCCTGTTGTTAACTAAAGTGCAAGCGGGGCATTCCCTACCTCCGGAAGTAAGGGGTTGTATTTCCGGGCCTCTTTTCGATTTACCGCACATTTCGCAAGCCTGCAATGACGCTTTATTTAAATATGTACATGTAGCACACTGCCATTTGTCTCGCCTAGCCTCATTTTCTCTTACGTCAGGTCTCTCTTTGTCACTATTATGATGGGAAGCCCGACTTGAAGGGCGCTCCCTTTCACCATTTTGCTGAGCGTGCTTTGGTGGTGAACGACGTACGTAGTCCGGCTCGTCTAGTGAAACAACTAACTGCTGCTTCAGATCGTAATTTGACTGGTGTGTGCTGGAGGCTGTGAAAGTGAAAAAGAGTACATGTTATAATCACCACTCGATTTATCCCAACTTTTAAGTTAACAACAGGGATTAATTTTATCTATACAAATAAAAAAATTGAAGTGTTGCCAAAATAACAGCTTTTTACTAAATACATGTGAAAGTACATACGGTAGTTATAACAAAAAACATTTTTTTAAACTTAATTTCTAAAACGGCTGGACCAGTTTTCACTGACAGATAGCTGATATTATAAGGAGTAACTTAGGCTACTTTTATTTTAGAAAAAGCATTCAGTTTCGGCAAAAAAACAATTAAAACCCATTAAATCCAATCGTAACAAATTACACGCCGGCGAAGTCGCGGAGAACAGCTAGTGTAAATAGAAAACTTCTGCCACCCCAAAATTATACTGTTATTGTACAGAATTGTAATTCCAACTCTGCTTACCTACGGCGCTCTGGTATGGTGGACAAAAACTAACGAAGCCGTGATTTTTATAGTGGTAAGTGAAGCTTTAGTGATACTAGCAATTGGCCTATATGACTGTCACAGACTGTCATACAGGCTGCTTTAGCGGCAGCTCTAGCAGCCATGCTGAAGCTAACCCCTCAACTTCACATCCAACAATAAGATACGTTAGCTGTCATCAGACTCAAAACTCTAACTCTTTGGAGCAACAGAGAGTCACACTCATACAGGTACAATATATAGAAAACAACAAAATTCCTATCGTACGAGCAATTTGTGTTTGATAAGAAGTACAAAATACAACTAAGCGAATCAAACCATCTTGGGGTCCAAGCCGCAGAGAACCTCTAAAACAAAGACCTCGAAAAAGTACCTCAAAAGAATCTCAAAAAAGTAAGTAAGCAGGTACAGGATTTGGAACGTTCTCAGACGACCTCAACATACATATATGTGCAGGAAAGTAAAGGACTACTCTATATGAATACTGACCGATAGCAGGACAGTTGCTATATGCTTTGAATAGCATTGCAAAGTAGCAAACTTAGGACTAATATACGAATGTCATCAACGTCTAAATGAGGTATGTAAATACAACAATGTGACCTTAAAATGGATTAAAAAACACAGTGGATCTAGGGCAATGACGCAGCAGACGAACTGGCCAGATGAGGATCAACTTTAGGTGTTATAAGGCCGGAACCGATCACACCGATTCCCTTTGTTCATTGGTACATACAGACTATACTAATCAACACGCTCATCTTTGGAAAAATCAAGAAGACTGTAGGAAAGCTAAGAAAGCCCTGTCTACAAATAATGGTTGTTATCCAAGCTTCTAATGAGACTAGGCAAACAATAGATTAGGATAGCAACAAGTGCTATTCCTGAGCATGGTTCTTTTACAAAACATTTAACTACTATAGGTGTTACTGACATTTATCTGTGCTGAGCATGTAAGTATAAGAGAGAGAAAAACAGCGGCCCAAGTGCTATTGGTATTTCAGATCGCCACATACCGAATTAAAGATCTCGGCACGCCGAGGTCGCTCCCCGAAATCGTCGGTAACATTAAGGGACTACTGAACTTCTTTATGGCTCAAATAATTACAATATTCCTCCTGCCCACATGCAAAATACGCGCTTAAACGTAATGTTGCGGAAAATAGCCCGTCGTATACTAAGCTAAGTTGCCAGCGTATAATTTTTCAAATAAGACTGTATATAATTTAATATGCTATGTGAAGAACAACGGACTCAGTATATAGTAGGTACGTGCGATACTCCAGAGGATTTTATCATTAGAGGTAAATTCATTAACATTTTAGGTCCTGTCAACAAGAAATCCATCGTAAGGAGTTTTCGCGAATGCCATTAAATGCAATGTTTTGAAGAAGGTTTGAATGATTCACCTTATCCCGTGATCACCGCACTATTCACCATTACGAAAATTCATATAAAATGCAATTATTGACAATTTTTTTTTTACAGAATCGCGATGTTCGCGAATTAAAATATTGGATAGAGTCGGATATATTAAATTATGTACTGAGCGTTACAAACTATTAAACCTTTACAAAGTTTAAACATTAAGTTTTAGAATTTGCGATATCGACTAAAAAAACATTAAATGTATATATACTCACTTGCAGCATTTTTTGCAACATGCGTCATTTTATGGACGCCGTTTTGCAAAGGTTTGTTGTTAGTCGGCTTTTCAACCTCAACAGCTACTAACTTAGCTGGTTTCTTCACTTTTTTCACCTCAACTGTGTTTGATGTGGCCCCATTCACTGAAGTCTGTTGCTTAATCACTTCTCTTCTATCTTTTATTTCTTTCTTTGTTAATAATTTAACTTTATCTGTTGGGACCTTATTAGGTATTAAACCATCTGCTTTTGGATTACCTACTGGTTCTGCTATCTGTCGTTTTGTTTTTCTTTCTTCACTTGGCTGTTGCTTTTTAGCCAAATGTTTCGCTCTCTTTAACTCTTGCTCTTGCTTTAGCCTCATGAGATTCTCATTTACTTTTGCCGTTCTATACAGTTCCTCATCATAAGAGCGATCTAAATTTAGAGCTTGTAGGCCATCTTCTAAGTCTAGAGAAGTCAGTTGATACTTCGATCTCCTTTCCTCTCTATCCAATCTGTCAAGCGTCCTTGAATCTCTATCTAATGATTGAGAGAAGCCACTCCTACTGTCTCCATCTTGCTCTTTGCTCGACAAATTTCTGAACACATAATCCCAGCTTTCATATGTTCCCATTCCATCTTCTTTTGCTTTGCTTAATGTCGGTTGGGTATCCGAACGAGGTATACTAGGTAACGTAACATCGCTAAAGCCAGATCTTGATGATGTTCTTTTCAAACTTTCCAGTTGTTTACTGTTCTTTTTATTACTTCTCTCTTCGTCTCGTTGCCTCTCAAACTTTCCATTTTCGTATACTGATGGTGTATCCAGCTCAATTAGCTGAGCAGTAGGCACTGCGGGCATTGTAGGATATCTATACTGTTGAATAGGTGGTGGGTAACCATTGATTGGAACGTTGGTCGCGTGTTTGATTGGAGCGTATACGGGACCTGGTATCATGTAGGGAGTTTGTACGGGGTAATAATACGGCACAGCGCCATAAGGGGTCATCACGGATATAGGATTACACGATGGAACTGTTGCAGGGATATTGGAGTTAATATGCTGATGTTGGATAGGATACATCATATGTGGTGGTAACATATTAGGAGGTACCATGTAAGAAGGGTGAATAATTGGTGTGATTGGTTCCTCTAATGGTGATATGTCATTGCATGAATGATTACACTGAGACATAAGGGAGGTGTTAGGATACCGAGAGTTGGGTAACCTGCTGTGATGAGTGTCAGCTGTTACTGTTGCTGGTATGTTGGAATATATTTCCGATTCTGAAAAAAAAATGTATACATATAATTTATTTTTATATATTTTGTAATAAATTGATCACGTATGCTGACAAATATAATTTAAATAGAAAAGTAATTTGTTTTTATTATCATCACATCCTATTAAAAGTTCACTTATGAACATAGGCCTTCCCCATGTATTGCCTCATAGGGAGGATTTTGCCATAGTCGCCACGCTTGGCAGGCGGGTTAGCAACCGGATTTTTTTATTATATTAAGTTGTTTATGGAAGATGTTGCTGCCCACGTTCAGTTTCAGTTTTCCTCAGTCACGTCTTACAATACGCAAGGGACGACATGAGTTAGTGGACATTCTTACACCGCCACTACACAGTTATACTAGAATTATTTTGTGCGTGCAGTTTAAGTCATAAATCATCGAAGTATTTCGCTCTCTCTCCCACTCACGGGCCTTAGGCGCGAGGATAGTGATGCGCATTATTGTTGTCGATAAGCGTTATCTATACGGTATTTAGTTTTGTCATTATGTGTGTTAGTGATAAAAATGAAAAAAAAATAGATAAAACAACATATTTATTAAAATAAGAATAATAATAATTTAAAATAAATTATTCATTAGGTATCTATGTATTAAAAAACTATATGTACAAATGTTTGGAATGTAACAAGTTATGTTAAAAATAAATATAAAGATAATAACTTATATATAAAATTAAATTTGTTGTTATCGATAATGGCGTTGCGCCCGCGCAAATGCTCACCACCCTAGCTGGGCTGAGGCCGGGCTACGATTTATGACCCCAACTGCACGCACAATATAATTTTACTATAGTGAAGAGAATTGTAACGCTGTAAATTTTCATACAAAAGGCGATAACGTTTTTCGCCCCCTGAGCATTATCTAATTTTCATAATATTTGGAAATGTTGTAGGTATAATGAAAAACTAGGTCCGTACGTTTTTATTTTAAAGAAATATTGCGTACGAAATAAGTTATTAGCATCTAAATATCTGTGTTTTTGACTTCCTCGAGCGTTTTTTTTTAAATTAAGCTAAACTGAATTACCAAAAAAAGAAACCTAAATTAAGGTGGTACTGTAAGGGAGGGTGAAAACGTTATCGCCCGAAACAATATTTCAAAGAGGGAATGTAGGCAATTGCTTCCAAGACTTGCAACTTTCTCTATCGCACGATACGGGGATACAGAGCGAGTGGTATGAAACAGATAGCATTTGATTACCTACCTAATTTATTACCTACTCGCGCCGCGTATCGGCACTTCAAAATTCTCTTAACTTAAACTTAAATTTTGACAACAACTTAATTGCTTTTCAACTAGCAAAATTAACGTGAACCTTTGACAAGATGTGTCGATCGCTCACATAGTTTATAAATCACTTTATATTTACCATCGCTGTAGCCGGACAAGGCGGCTGCCGCGGCCCGAGCGGAGCCGGCGCGCGCGGCGCGTTCCCGCGCGACGTCTGTCCAGCTCACGCGTACTCCCCTGCCCACCACCTCCTCCCACACCTGGGACATTATCTGAAGCAAAATGTTCCACTTAACACCAATTATATCAAATTTCAAATGTGTTTCTACAAATCCTATGTGGTGTTTTCATACACAACAGTACAAACAGTGGCGAAGCTAGGGCTCTAAACTAGGGCAAGCCCAATATATGGTTTTGTTGTTTTTAGCAGTTTTATAAAAATACACCAATCATGATCTGTCTCCACTCTTCAGTTTCATATTCAGTGCTATCGATGAAGTGTTTAACAAAGCACACAGAAGGAATACTACTGTTAGATAGATTGTATGACATATCAGCAATTGCATACGTTCGGTGGCTTTGAAAAAAGCTGTTTGGGTTTGCTTGAGCGAAAGAAAAAGATATTTACATACAACACAATACATGAACAAAATAAAAGCATGAACAAAGTACAAACAATGTACAAAATAAAAAAAAAATATTTATATTCTAAATCGAATCGTATCTCTTTCTCAAATTTTTGATTATGTCCGCGTAAAATGTTGGTGAACGTTTTAATTGTACAAATAACTGTTTATGTTGATATGAGCTGTTTTTCCTCAACAAGGTTTAAAGATTTTATCTTTTCCTCGCCGATTAGCTCTTTAACACACTTTAATTCATCATAAGGAACACTATTATCCTCCATTTTCACTATAATCTTTAAAAAAAACCATAAATTTTCAACTCGCAATATTCATTCGCTCAAGTAAACATAGAGTAAACATTGAAATGTTAAGTGAAAGTGTAAACGTATCGCCCGGGCGCCCCCGCGCTCGTTTAACTTCACACCAAAAGCTGGGCTTTTGGCTCCATACTAATGGCTATATAAACAATCGTAGTTATATTTCACTATAGACCATTTTGCCACAGGCTAGAAAGGGAGCGATCGTCTTCTCGAAAGCCCGGTAAAAACCCACGCGTGCGAGAGAGACGACTAATCGCTCAACTCAGTAAAGCAATCTACCAAGTGTTGACGTTACATAATAAAGCTACGAGGTCATGACCTGTGTAGAACAGAGGAGCGCGCGGGAAATTTGAAATAATTTAAAACAGTTTACGAGTTATTTTATTAGTTGATATTATTGATTGAGCAGTTTGATAGGGCAAGCCCGGCTTCTCGGCTTCTATGGAGCCTTCGCTACCGAGTACAAATATCACAAAACTATGTATCTATGTATAAAAATAACTAATGTATGATAGGTAGACTAACGGTGGTAGAGCCACGCAGCAGTTTTTGCTGTTGCATGTATGGGCCGGCTCGAGCCGGGTTGGTACCACGACCTCACAGAATACCGGCGTGAAGTAGAAGCTTTGCTTCTGCGTTTCGTCTGGTGAGTGCAGGTGGCCGGAGGCCCAATTCCCCCCCCCCCCCCCCCCATCAACATGGTAGCGGAATTACACGAAGAACTACCCCAGGAGGGTACCAGCACCCCTGGAGAATCCCTCGCTGAGCATCCACGACCATGTTATTCCGATCCTGAGCGTGGGTGCTCAGGCTGCCCCGCGTATTCTGGGGGGGGCAAAATTCCGCTCAAAAGCATTACTGCTAGGGGCAAACTGAGCAAGAACACCAAGGCGACCCCTGCCACGCTATCCGTGAATTTCTGCAACATCAGGGGACTTCACTCTAACCTAAACGCCGTCCACTACCATCTCGAGACGGCGAAGCCGGCCTTGCTCTTTCTGACCGAGACGCAGGTTTCCTCTCCGGCTGATATTTCGTATCTCTCCTACCCGGGGTACAAATTGGAGCATTCCTTTGTGCCTCGGGCTGGAGTTTGCGTGTATGTCTGTCTGTTCTGTTCTCGACGCCTCGGCAGTCTTGAAGGTTCGGACCTGTCCATCCTTTGGCTACGCGTAGACAGCTACGACCATCCGCGCGTCTACGGGTGCCTCTATAGGTCCCATAGCGGTAATGCCGAAACAGACCGACTCATCGACCACGTCCAAATGGCTACAGATTTCTTGCTACAACAGGTCCCATCCGCAGAGATCGTGATCCTTGGCGATTTTAACGCCCACCATGCCGAATGGCTCGGTTCACGTCTAACCGATCATGCGGGGAGATCTGTTTATGACTTTGCCTTGGCATATGGTCTGACACAACTGGTTACTTCGCCTACGCGGATTCCAGATGTGGAGGATCATACACCTTCCCTGTTGGACCTTCTGCTGACCTCTCATCCGGACGGATATCAGGTTTCCGTCGATGCCCCTCTCGGCTCTTCGGACCATTGTCTGATCCGGAGTGTGGTGCCACTCACGCTCCCTTCGCGGTTGCGTTCTGCAGGTTGCCGACGTGTTTGGCATTACAGGTCGGCGGATTGGGACGGACTGCCGTCCTTCTTTGCATCCTACCCATGGGGGCGGGTTTGCTTCTCGGCGGATGATCCCAGCGCTGTTGCTGACTCTGTCACTGATGTGGTGCTACAGGGAATGGAACTATTTATTCCATCATCTGTGGTACCCATCGGAGGCAGATCTCAGCCTTGGTTTGGTCGCTCCTGTAAGACTGCATTACGCAGTAAGCAGGAGTGTTATCAAGCCTGGGCTGCGGCTTCGGCGACTCGGGATGTAAATACCAGCACACTTAAAAAGAAGCATAACTTCGCCTCCAGGTCCTTCAAAAGAGTTATTGCCAAGGCAAAGTCAGAGCACATAGGCAGAATTGGCGAGAAACTAGTTCGCCTTCCTTCGGGAACCCGTGCATTCTGGTCTCTCGCCAAGGCTGTCCAAGGGAATTTCTGTAAGCCATCACTACCATCTCTGCACAGGGAGGATGACTCACTGGCCCATGACGCAAAAGACAAAGCCGACCTTTTAGGCTCCCTTTTTGCGTCCAACTCGACTCTTGATGACGGGGGGAAAACACCGCCGACCATCCCGCGGTATGAGTGCTCCATGCCGGATGTGCTGTTCTCACAGCGCTCGGTTTGCAAAGCACTGCTCTCCCTGGACATCCAGAAGTCGAGTGGGCCTGACGGAATCCCCCCAATTGTGCTGAGGACGTGTGCTCCGGAGTTGGCACCGGTCCTAACGCGTCTTTTCCGGTACTCCTACTCCCAAGGCGTAGTCCCGAATTCATGGAAGACAGCTTTTGTCCACCCGATCCCTAAAAAAGGCGACCCGTCAGACCCATCCAACTATAGGCCTATCGCGATAATTTCCTTGCTCTCCAAAATAATGGAATCCATTATTAACTGCCAGCTCATCAGGTACCTTGAGGATCACCAGCTGATTAGTGACCGCCAATACGGTTTTCGTCGGGGTCGATCAGCTGGTGATCTTCTGGTCTACCTGACCCATAGATGGGCGGAGGCAGTAGAGTCCAAGGGGGAGGCGTTGGCCGTTAGTCTGGACATTGCGAAGGCCTTCGATCGGGTTTGGCACAAAGCGCTTCTTTCGAAGCTCCCTTCCTATGGGCTTCCCGAGAAATTGTGCAATTGGATCACCAGCTTCCTTGCAGATCGGAGCATCAAGGTCGTTGTAGACGGTGCATGCTCTGACTACAAGCCTATTAACGCTGGTGTTCCACAAGGCTGTGTGCTATCACCAACGCTGTTTCTTCTGCATATCAATGATATGTTGCTAACTGGTAACATTCATTGCTATGCGGATGACAGCACTGGTGATGCTCTATACACCGGCCGTGCCAATATTTCTCGGGAAAACGTCGCTGAGTACCGGAACAAACTTCTGTCTGAAGTCGAGTCTTTGCTGAACAAAGTCTCGGATTGGGGGCGACTAAATCTAGTCCAATTTAATCCTCAGAAGACACAAGTTTGCGCGTTTACCGCTAAAAAGAACCCCTTTGTCGTATCTCCTCAGTTTCAAGGCACTCCCCTTCTTGCCTCAGCCAGTATCGGTATCCTCGGAGTCGACATATCGAGTGACGTGCAGTTTCGTGGTCACTTGGAAGGGAAGGCCAAATTGGCCTCTAAAAAGCTTGGCGTGCTCAGCAGAGCGGGACAGTATTTCATGCCGGCACACCGCCTGCTACTTTACAAGGCGCAAGTTCGGCCTCACATGGAATACTGTTCCCATCTCTGGGCAGGGGCTCCCCAGTGCCAGCTCCTTCCACTTGACCGCATCCAACGCAGAGCGGCTCGAATTGTCGACGACCGAGCCCTTTCCGATCGGCTCGATTCATTGGCACTGCGAAGAGATGTTGCATCCCTTTGCATTTTCTTTCGCATCTACCATGGGGAGTGCTCTGAGGAATTGTTCGGATTAATCCCAGCCGCCAAATTTCACGAACGCACATCGCGGCAGAACTCCCGATACCATCCACACCATCTGGATGATTGGCGGTCCACCACTGTGCGATTTAGAAGATGTTTTCTTCCTCGCACGACCTCCTTGTGGAATCGATTACCATCAGCGATTTTTCCGGACCGATACGACTTAGGGACCTTCAAGAAAAGAGCGTACTCCTTTTTAAAAGGCCGGCAACGCATCTGCGATTCCCCTGGTGTTGCAGTTGTTCATGGGCGGCGGTAGTCATTTACCATCAGGTGAGCCGCATGCTCGTTTACCCCCTCTCCTATAAAAAAAAAAAAGGTAAGTTCAGTAGCAAAACTTAAAAAGGCTCAACTTTCTAATATATATCAAAGGCTTGAAATGTGAATCCAGTTAATTTTAAACTTGATAATGAGATGAGCAAACTGCAAACTAGTTCATTTAACTCATTTCATTTATATGTACTTAATAACAATGTATATATAGTATACTTTATTTAAACTTCTGGAGTGTGGCGGCCATTTATTTAGTATTTGTTTAGTAATATTACCTGACACTCGCAATATGCGATAAGAGCGTCGCGTGAAACAGCGGCCACCATATCGGGACAGGCGGGCCCGTCCAGTCGTAAACGACCGGCGTAATGGTCGTCAGGGCGGTAGCCCATTGATTGAAGCAAAGTTTCTGCACCAACCATGTTCGCTTCGACTTCGTGCTTATAGAAGCCAGAGTATAGCTGCAATTTAAAAAAAAATGTTATGATTTATAATGAAAGAGGCTTGGGAAGTCTAATAAACATTAAGAAACCACAATATACGTAAGCAAAAACTGTTTTAGAGCAAAACAAACATCCTTGCTCAGTCCACCATAAGTCAGTCACCTAGTTGCTCTACAGCAGGTGTTCTTAACCTTTTACTTATGAAACAGAAACAGAAACAGAAACTTTTTTATTCAATATAGATTATAAATAATACTTATTGAAAGTCACTCTTTTGTTTGATTACCACTGGTTCGGAAAAAACCTCTGTCCTGGGAAGAACCAGCAAGAAACCCAGCGGGACTTTTTTTTTTAAATAACAGCTTACAATCATGATGTTACACAAATTAACAACACAACAAATTAGAAATAGCTTGGTAGCGATCACCTCATTTCCAGGGGTTATTATCATCCATAAATTCCTTAATATTATAATAACCCTTTTTATACAAACTTAGTTTAATAAAGTTTTTGGACTTTGAACAGGTCAAACTTTGTATATTTTCTGGAATTTTGTTGTAAAAGCGTATACATCGCCCCAAGAATGAATTACTGACTCGATGGAGTCGAGTAATTGGTACTACTAGCTTGTGTCTGTTCCTAGTATTTACAGAGTGAATATCACTTATTTTTATAAAACTACTTTTATTTTTGTGTACGTACATTACATTTTCATAAATGTATTGAGAGGCCAAAGTTAATATATTAATTTCCTTAAATTTTTGTCGCAGCGACTTTTTAGGCTTTAAATCATAAATTGCTCTTATGGCCCTCTTCTGCAAAACAAATATAATTTCAGTGTCAGCTGCGTGTCCCCATAGCAAAATACTATACGACATTATGCTATGGAAGTAGCTGAAGTAAACTAGTCTAGCTGTTTCAACACTGGTTAGACTTCTAATCTTTTTTACAGCATATGCTGCAGAACTAATATGAGAACATTATTTGACTGATTTTTATTTTGCCACAGACCACCAAATTTAGTCATAATATAAATTATCTTAAGGTTGAATATTAAGTTTATTCTATAAATAAAATATACAAAAATGAATGTTGTCATCATCGTCATCAATATGCGTCCCTATATTTTAATGTAGCAACTGCCTGTATTGTGAAGTAGTGTATGGCGTATTGGCAGTATTTACACATTTACTAATATCTGCAAAAATTTTGTATAATTTTTAATATACGAGAGAATTGTATTAGGACTTCGCGGGATACTTTGATTGCGATCAGGGATCATCAGTGGTTCATGGGCCATTTTACTGTACAGAATAAATGTATCAGTTTGTTTAATTTAGCATAACTAATTAAAAATTATTTGAAATAATAATTAGTATATTCCTTTTAATGCCACAACCAAACGTACACCTTTTTGTAAAACTTGAAATACTCACCCTAATAACCTTATACTCCTTTCGCCAAGGTTGTGCGAGTAGGTTTCCCGCGTACCGCGCTATCGCCGCCCATCCAATACTGCCGCGGTACGCACTAAATTCGGGCAGCTCGTTTATCGTTCGCTGGAACACTTTTGTAGTTTCTGCCAGACCAAATTTACACTCATGTGGTACAAGAGACAGATACTCAATTATGTAACCTGCAAAAAATAGAATCATCTTTTAGCAGGAGCATGAATTGATTAGAATCAAGTGTAAACTCCATTATGAATCAGTGTGACTTCCATAAAAGATTAATATATCCATTACAATAAGTATAATATTCTCCAGTTGTCGATCTCCATCAATTTCATCAGTTGTAGATTTCATTTCAGGTCCACTGAAAACCAGCACTGTTGTTTCGGCGACATCACAAGTTGAATGAGGTCCATTTGCCTAACGCGCCATAACACACATGAGAAAAGATTTTTTGTAATATATAATCATACATTTATATATCATATATTTATATTATATAATCATTCATTTGTACGTGGTAGAGCCATGCTGCAGCTATATTAATAGTATAGTTTTAGCACGAATGGGTTGGCTCGACCGGGAAAGGACCACGCTCTCACAGAATACCAGCGTAAAATAATAGATTAATACTGCTGTTTCGTATGGTGAGTGTAGAGAACCGGCGACCCTTTTAACTGGAAAAGAGGCATTCCTTCTTAGTCCTCATGGGTGACAAAGCATCTGCATTTTGATTCTTTATTAAGGATAGATGTGGATGTCTAGGGTCACAGCAACCACTTACCATCAGGTGGACTGTGTGCTCCTTTGTCACCCTATCCTATAAAAAAATAAAAAAATACATACTTTTGTTACATATTATATTTCTGTCAAGTCGTTGTTTTTTAATTTTATTACACCTTTATTATTTGATGTGTTTATAAACATTTAAGATTAAGTGCGTAGTTGTATGTGTGGTGTATTTGCAATAAATGTTTCTTTTGCATGCCTTAAGCGAAAGCGCAAGGTATGTTCTACTATCGCCTAAAAATTAAGATTCCAACGTTTTATCGAATAAAATCGTATCTAGCAATCATATTATACATATAAATAAATTATATAAAAAGCACATTGTTAGAAAGATAAATGTTTGTTGAACTTATTAGTATTTTTTTTAATCAATTAATTGCTATTTTTAAATAAAAAAGGGGTTTCAGTGGCTTATGGCAGGCCTCTGTCACTCTTGCTACCTGCGTGAAATTATTACCTACAATCGCGAACTGCCCCAGGGGTAGATCGCAGTCGGGGCTAGCGCGCTCTATACGATTGAATGTCAAAGTTTTTTTTTAACGCTGTTTACGCAGGCCTCTGTCACTCTTGCTACCTGCGTGAAATAATTACCTACAATCGCGAGCTGCCCCAGGGGTAGATCGCAGTCGGGGCTAGCGCGCTCTATACGATTGAATGTTAAAGTTTTTTTTAACGCTATTTACGTAAATATTTTTTTTGTAAATAGGTACTTGATGAAATACTCGTCGAAATAGTTTATGTTTAGCGTTTAGTATATTTAATTGTAGGATAAAATAGTTGAAATAGTTTTAATGTAATTTAAGAATAATATATATGTATATTTTACCTATCTATTTGATAAATTATAATGGCAAAACATCGTTCCTACTATAATTGTTGCGGGGATGGATACTTATTGAGCAATTAAAAGGATTCAGATATATCATTTTTTAGTTACCGAAGGATAATGAAAGGTAAATTTATTTAATTTCTTTGTTAGATAGGCACTTATAGCTAAAAAATAATTAAGTAATAATTTAACTACAGAAGTAGTTTATTACAAAACTTACTTGAAATTTACTTCACTACCCAAGTACCTACTTACATACCTATACTCGTCTTTTAATTAAAATATTTTAAGTTATAATAGCACAAAATACTGAAATTCAAACTTTGTTTACAAGATTTTCAACTAAGTAGATTACGATCACATTTCTGTTATGAATCGTATTTCGGGTTTATTTGGTGTTTACGCTATCTACGTCAAAGTCAACATCAAAAGAGTGCAACTTCTGTACGTAGTACTATTATTTATTCTGTGCTTATGGTGTGGATTTATCATGTCTAAATTTGATATCAATTTTTTCATAATGGGTGTCATTCTCATGTTTTTGCGGGTGTTGAAGCCGATAGTGCTGTCGAAATGTAAATCCAAGGTGGCGGCTGCAATGGGTATCAATATTTTCATCATGGGTGTCATTTTCATGGGTTTCGAGGATGTTGAAGCCGATAGTGCTGTCGAAATGTAAATCCAAGATGGCGGCTGTAGTAGATACCAATTTTTTCATCATGGTTGTCATTTTCATGGTTTTCGAGGGTGTTGAAGCCGATAGTGCTGTCGAAATGTAAATCCAAGATGGCGGCTGCAATAGATATCAATTTTTTCATCATGGGTGTCATTTTCATGGTTTTCGAGGTTGCTGAAGCCGATAGTGCTGTCGAAATGTAAATCCAAGGTGGCGGCTGCAATAGATATAATTTTTTTCATCATGGGTATCATTTTCATGGTTTTCGAGAGAGTTGAAGCTGATAGTGCTGTCGAAATGTAAATCCAAGGAGGCGGCTGAAGTAGGTACCAATTTTTTCATCATGGGTGTCATTTTCATGGTTTTCGAGGGTGTTGAAGCCGATAGTGCTGTCGAAATGTATTTAAACTACTTTAAAAAATTCCGTATAATCATGTTATACGTAATTTTTTTAATGCGCTTCAGGCATGCCCAATTGGATTTACCAATATTTCTTTCTTCAATGAGGGCTTATAATTTTAAGCTGCGTATCGATTAACGCGCTACTGTCGCGCGCGTCGTGAATGCCCGCGCAAACCAGTGCGTTTCGCGGAACGCGTTCCAAATGTTCGAAGTGTATCAACTAAGTGCGCCTAGCGCGCTCGGCAGCCGTTCCGATGTTTGATTGTTCAATATCGGTCGATAAAGCCGCGTGTCGATTACGCCTTCCTGGCGCGACCCATGATTGACCGCGCCGAACAGTGCGTTCCGCGGAATGTATGAATATTATGATAAAAACTACTTTTGCTTTTCCACAGCAGTTCTTTTGAACCATATAATTTTATCAATATACGGCAACTCTGGTTATCGATAGCTCGGAACGCAACGAACACACGAGTGATGAAAACAACCGTCCCAACTGGCGTGCGCGCCAATACTTAACTAATTTGATACGCGGTAAAAAACCGACACCAGATGGAACGGACCGCTCCACGTTTCAGCGTTCCAACGAACAATTTGGCGAGCGTTCCAAGGCGGTATCCATTTCGCGCGGCTGGAACTTGCGCCAATGTTCGACCTCTTAAGAGCGCATAATCGATACGCGGTTTTACGCTCACCAGATATCGATAGTTGGGACTAATATGAAGTTATTTTACAAATGGTCACAGTGTCATTATCATTGAAAAGTTGTGATTTAATTATAAGTTTTTCGGTTTCTACTATATACACAAAACAAGGCCTCAGTATAGTATTCCTTAATTTTAACCTTTTTTTAACTCCTCTGCATTCAATAAAACTAAAGTATGTTCATATTTATTAGTTATACGTAATCATCGCTCGGTCGGGTCGGGTCGGGTCGCTCGACAACTGATGCCGGTGTTGAGCTGATTAAATATATCTTTAATGCATGGGAGAATTCACAGGATGCTTTGGGTATATTTTGTGACCTATCCAAGGCCTTCGATTGTGTTCACCATGAAACATTAATCAGGAAACTTCAACACTACGGTGTAAGAAGTGATGCTCTTAAATTAATTATTTCATATTTAAGTAAGAGAACGCAAAAAGTTGTCATTAACAATATGAGCTCTTCCGGATCGATGGTACAAATGGGCGTGCCTCAAGGCTCAATTCTCGGCCCCTTTCTGTTTCTTGTATACATTAATGACTTACCATACATAGTAGGCGATAACCATGATATAGTATTATTTGCAGATGACACTTCTTTAATTTTCAAATTAAGTCGACAGTTACTAAAATATGACGAAGTAAATAATGCTATCTCTAAATTAGTAAATTGGTTCGATGTTAATAATTTGCATTTAAATGGCACTAAAACAAAATGTATGAAATTCGTGACTCCAAATGTCAAACAATTTAATACTAATGTAATTTTAAATCGGGAGAAACTGAGTCTTGTAGATACCACCATTTTTCTTGGAATCACACTAGACGCGAAGCTTCAATGGAGCCCCCATATATCAAAACTAGCAAGCAGACTTAGTTCTGCAGCATATGCTGTAAAAAAGATTAGGAGTTTAACCAGTGTTGAAACAGCTAGACTAGTTTACTTCAGCTACTTCCATAGCATAATGTCGTATGGTATTTTGCTATGGGGACACGCAGCTGACACTGAAATTATATTTGTTTTGCAGAGGAGGGCCATAAGAGCAATTTATGATTTAAAGCCTAAAGAGTCGCTGCGACAAAAATTTAAGGAAATTAATATATTAACTTTGGCCTCTCAATACATTTATGAAAATGTAATGTACGTACACAAAAATAAAAGTAGTTTTACAAAAATAAGTGATATTCATTCTGTAAATACTAGGAACAGACACAAGCTAGTAGTACCAGTAACTAGACTCCATCGAGTCAGTAATTCATTCTTGGGGCGATGTATACGCTTTTACAACAAAATTCCAGAAAATATACAAAGTTTGACCTGTTCAAAGTTCAAAAACTTTATTAAACTAAATTTGTATAAAAAGGGTTATTATAATATTAAGGAATTTATGGATGATAATAACCCCTGGAAATTAGGTGATCGCTACCAAGCTATTTCTAATTTGTTGTGTTGTTAATTTGTGTAACATCATGATTGTAAGCTGTTATTAAAAAAAAAAGTCCCGTTGGGTTTCTTGCTGGTTCTTCCCAGGACAGAGGGTTTTTCCGAACCAGAGGTAATCAAACAAAAGATTGACTTTCAATAAGTATTATTTATAATCTATATTGAATAAAAAAAGTTTCTGTTTCGTGTTATAGTCAAATATAATCATTATTGCTTACTGAATTGTAGACCTTTCGATTTCCAGAAAAAAAAATGTATGGAATTTTGAAACATTATGTCAAAACTGACACTTACCTTCCAATTTCTTCTTTTGTAACAATTTCTCTGGACTGTCATCGGTCTCCAAATAACTGTAGTGTGCATCTTCTATTCGTCTCCATAGCGCCGGAAGACGCTCGCGCAACACTGCGTCTCCCATACTCATTGCGCAAGTCATCACCATCACAGGTACACCGGGTTATAGTATAAATACTGAAAATAAACTGTTATTAACATTTATTATTATATACTAGCTGGTACGAGGCGCCTTGCTGCCACAGAAGAAATAATTGTGGAAATATCGTTTCAAATTTGGAAGAGTTACGTATATTGTTTACCTAGCTGCAACCCGCGACTTCGCCCGCGTGGAATTTATTACGATTGAATTTTATGGGTTTTAATTTTTTGCGCGGAACCCTAATTATTGTTATAAAATGAAAGTAACCAAGTTACTCCTCATAACATCAGCTGTCTGTCAGTCTAAGTTATGTCAAAATCGGTCCAGCCACTTCACTTCAGAACAGACAGACAGATATTCAGACAGACAGACAAAAATTATATAAATCGTTTTTTTTTGTTATAAGTACCGTACATATTTTCATATACGTTTAGTAAAAAGCTGTTATTCTGGCATTACAAACGGACACTTCAATTTTATTTATTTGTATAGATTGGGAATGATAATACATTCATTGAAGTTAAATGTTATATAACTTTCAAATAAATTTATCGGTACGATTATATTAAAAACTATATTTATGAAATGTTTTTATATAAATGATATTTTTATATAATGATATTATATATATATATATATGTATATATATATATATATATATATATATATATATATATATGACTAAAATTAAAAAATAATTCTTCAAGTCTAGATGTTAATCTATGTACAGTTTATTTTTGTAAAAGGCTTCCAAGACACTTGAGACACTAAACTATATTAATGTCTCCTATTATTCAATAATTTAAAATTAAAAATTTTGTACAACCGACTTCAATATAAGTTATTAAGAATAACTCAAAAATTATTGGTCTGACCTTGATCACATTTATATGGGACCACACGAGAAGTACCAGCTTTCAAGCAAAAAAAGAATCATCGAAATCGATTCACCCAGTAGTGGTAGTAAAAGTTATGAGGTAACACACAAAAAAAACATACAGTCAAATTAAGTAAAGTCTCCTTTTTGGAAGTCGGCAGAAAAAATACCAAAAATGTAAAGAGTGGTAAACGAAATAACATTTTATTGTCAGATATATCTGCCTAAAGTCTATGTATATATCTATCTGTAAAATGTAAAAAATAAATTGAATACCAAGACAATACTTCTACGAATTACTTTTTTGTATCCAATATAAGGTTTCAATTTTTTTGTAAATAAGCTAAAAGATGCTGAATTTTAAACTGTGGTTATGTCATTCAGATTAAAAATGTTTGTGATGTTAAACAATAAAAACCCTTTATAATTACAAGATGGCTTGCACTGTGGTTGCCAGTCATAGTAGGTAAATAAATAAATTACTATAAGATGACTAACGATCACAGTGGCATAGCTCACACTTCAAGTCAGGGCAAGAATGAGTGCCCGCTGTGTGCGAATGTGCGGATCGGGGTGAGCCACGTGCACGACAAACACACAGTTGTATTAGTGTCTTCCAAAGCATCCTGTGATTTTTGTACTGGCTCCAAGCTGTGCTTTCATCATGCTACCGGATTCAAATAAAGAAGACTATACTATGTTTCGTTAAAAAAAGGAAAACACTTGATTTTATGTTCTACTTTAGAAGTATTAAAAATAAAATCAAGACATTTACTTAATAGCTTTGAAAAATTTTACAATATATTTTCGTAAAAAATTAATATTTTGTTAGATGTAGGATTCCTAAAACAATAGCCCGCAGGCTTAAATTGGCTCGCAAGCACAACCAAACTTACCTGACCACCAAAGGTTTCCAGACAACTCAGGTATCAGGCTTGCCCTATTTTTAATTTTATGTAATTGAGTAAACATACAAAATAATAGGTAATCAGATAGTAATCAGACAAAAACATAATGACATACATAATAAAATTGAATATTTTCATAGTAATTAATTGATATCCAGTAATATGTGGTAGAGCCATGCTGCAGCTATATTAATAGTATAGTTGTAGCACGAATGGGTAGGCTCGACCGAAGAAGGACCACGCTCTCACAGAATATCAGCTTAAAATGGCAACTTAACACTGCTGTGTTTCGTATCCGAGATCCGGTGACCCCTTTTACTGGAAAAGAGGCATTCCATCTTAGTCCTCACGGGAGACAACGCATCTGCGTTTTGATTCACAAACGAGGATAGATGTAAATGTCTATGGGCCACAGCAATGACTTACCATCAGGTCAAATGTATGCTCGTTTGTCACCCTATCCTATAAAAAAAATATATTTCTATAAAACTTACAAAACCTAATTGGTTTTGATATGTGATACTGATATGTCATTATGTGTTTAGTTTTAAAGGGTAGTCTGAGTTCCATGATTTGAGCAGGAAAAAACAGGCTTGATTTTCTTCAAAAAGGAGGTATCACCCATAAGCGTTGCATAGCTTGTCTTTTTATACCAAGGAACCAGCCAAACGATGACAACAGTACTTCATTCAAGACCAGAGTTGACCTTGATAGACCATTTGATTATGAGCAGATATGTTTGTTGTCAATGATTTAGAGCAAAAGGAAAGGAAATGTTGCCAAAAGATTTGCTGCCTCAGGAACCCATAAAGCATTAATTGTTTTAACTTTTAATTTCCTGCCTAACTCAATAACTACTTTTATAGCTAGCTTTGTCAGGAAGTGAAGAGATCTAAGTTAATAGGCAAAAGACTGTTTCAAAGGATGGAGGCTTGCTACGAAGATTAGCATACCAAACTTTTAGATTATAAAAATATCTGGTGGTGGGTCTCCAGGAGTCCGTCTAGGTAGGTACCACCATCTCACCTATTCCTACCAAATAACAGTGCTTGTGATCTGGTGGGAAGAGTATAGAGGGCCAGTATATTTACAAACTTTGAGGTATTCCATCTTAGTCCTCAGAGGTAGAGAATGAATCTGTAGCTTCCTTTGTTTTAGTTTAGCGGCAGATGTCCATAGACTACAATAGCCACTTTACATAAGGTGAACTATAAGTTCATTTGTTTCAGTTTTAAAAAAAAATCTAGGTGAGGTGGTTGACCCGATAAATATGTAATGTACACCAGAAGTTGTTATCATATCCAAAGGTATGTTGTTCATTTGAGTATAGTCATTACAGTAGGGTAAATTAAGTTAATTTTCCCAGGGACACTGTGATTCAATAATTGTATCAAAAACTATTGGATTGTTGAAACGTCCATAAGCCGGTTATGGTTATCCAAAACAATTATATCAAATATCACATCAATAATAAACTGTATTATTGTAATTCTATACAAATGTAATATTTACAAAACAGATTCAATAATTAATTCATTTTCAGCAACAGAATTTATTATCAAGTAAAACAATTCCATTGATTAAACACAAATTACAAAGTAGTAGCCATACTACCAGATAAGATGGGGTGTACAAAATATCAGTGACAAAAACAACTTGTGTGAAAACAATTACCATTCAACCACATTAAAACTTAACATATGAAGGTAGCAAGCTATGTTTTAGAGGGTGTATTCACAATAGCACTTCTTATGGTAAACACACACACACACGCACACACGCACACACACACACACACACACACACACACACACACACACACACACACACACACACTCACTCACTCACTCACTCACTCACTCACTCACTCACTCACTCACTCACTCACTCACTCACTCACTCACTCACTCACTCACTCACTCACTCACTCACTCACTCACATTCACTCACATTCACTCACATTCACACACATTCACACACACTCACACACACATTCACACACACACAGTCACACGCACTCACGCACACTCAAACACTCACACTCACTCACTCACACTCACACACACACACACACACTCACACTCACTCTCACACTCACACTCACACTCACACTCACTCACACTCACTCACACTCACAGTCACTCGCACTCACTCTCACACTCTCACACTCACACACTCACACACTCACACACTCACACACTCACACACTCACACACTCACACACTCGAGCTCGCGCTCACGCACACGCACACGCACACACTCTCTCTCTCACACACACACACACACACATTTATATTTGTGAGGGAATATTAGGAATGGTGCGAAATTCGTTTAACATTTGAAGGGCACAGGGAAAAAAGGAGCACATTGACAATTTTACGTTTTTGGAATGAACTACCATTTTACTTCATTTTCTATAGCCAATCAGAGCACGTTATTTTAAACACGATAAAAGGCGCTGTTTTTGTGTAAATTGAATTGAAAAAAATTGTACTTTAGGATAAAACGCGCTCGTTGCATTCTATACCGCGTAAAAAGGTGCCCATTGTCTATGAAACCACGCTAGAACGGGCTGATCGCAGCGATTGTAACAGAAAACGCGCTCATAGTCGGCCATCTGTATTATTTTGTCATACAAATGACAGCTGCCAGATAAGCTTCCTTGCATAAATTTTACGACTTCTTTAGTGTACGTTAGGTTTTCAAAACGTTTTTGCTTATTTATATTACTCAATAAGTTTTAAGATATAAGAAAAGTATTCTAGATATTATTAATATTTATTTTACATCTTTTCAAAATATTCTCCATCATGCTCTATACAAAGTTCCATTCGCCTAAGTCAATTCTGAAAACACTTTTGTCAGTCTTGATCTGACAGGTCGGAAATCGCTTCTTCGTAGGCAACCACGGCTTCAACACCAGATTCCTCAATAAATGCTTTTGTTCTAAGGGAGGTACGTGAAGAGGCGTTATTGTGATGCAGCATGATTCTCCGAAGCCCGGTCTTTGGTCTTCTCTCCCACACAGCTTGAAAACCTTTGGGTGATGCAACTGTAGTATACCATTCAGAGTTGACTGACCTACCATTTTCTAGCATTGACGTCGACAAATGTCTGCTCCGCAAAAAAAAAACTAGCCACCATTTTTTTGCCGACGTTGCGAGGTCTTTGCAGTATTGTCAGTAACTGTCCTTCTGAGTAGACCTATACTGATGATTGCCTTTTATTTTCCGGATCATATTGATAGATCCATGTCTCGTCACCAGTAACGATTTCTGAAACACGCCTAGATGCCCCGTTTTCAAAACGTAGACGCATTTCATGGCACCAATCGACAGGAGTATGTTTTTCGCTTTCGGAGAGTAAACGAGGGATCCATCGACAACAAAGCTTCCTCACTTCAAGATGTTGATGTAGGATGGTATGAATGCTGTCCGAACTAATGCCTACAATCTTTTCGATGTCCGTATATGTGATTCGTGGGTCTTCTCGCACCAACATTTCAGTAGTTCATACATTTTCTGCCGTTACTGCTGTTTGTAGGGCTCTGGTTCTTTTTTCATCTTTAAAATTAATTTTACCTGAATATATTAACTTACCCCACAAATAAATTTCATGCTAATTAACATGTATTTTACTTCATTAGTGTGTTTATGTAATTAGACATTGTTTATGATCACAATTAATTTGTAAAATGTAAAAAGGAGATCATTGTGACAATGAGCACGTTCTTGCCTTTTACATTTGGGAGTTAGGTAATTAAATATTGTTTATTTACCAACCCAATCTTTTAAAATAACAATATATTATGTTAAATATACACTGTTCCTTTTTTATATGGGTACAAATCATATTTTAGTAGAGTTGTAAGTGTAGAAATTGAAATTTTAGGTTTAATTCTTTAATTACTCGAAACAATGAGAATGTTAATGAGCTCCTTCTTTTCCTGTGCCCTTCATTTGGTTTAACCCAATTTCGACAGCTTGAATCGAACTTTAGCCTGCACTATAAAGTTAATAGAAATCAAATGTATCATACCTGTAAAATAAAATCTCTACAATCATGGTCATTTATTTGTTAATTAATAATTACTATCATTATCATTTTACTAGTTTGTTAGTTATATTTTAATTAGTAATAGTATAAAAATTAAATTAGCTCTTCTTAATTAAGGAGTCTTATAAATTTGTCTAATAAGGAAAAATGTTTATTCATTACTATAACTTAAAACAAAAATAAAATAAAGATAGAATTTTTCTAACAAACATTAGTAACTAATTGTAACTTTAATTTTAAATTGAAGTAAGTGCGTAAACAAGAAACGACGTTTTGCTCCTGAGAAAGTATGGCAAAAATAAACTGAAGTACGACCGAACTTCAGTTTATTCTAACTGCATTTAGTTATTTGGTGTATACTTATATTTAAATAATAATGGTAAGTTGTAAAAATGTAACAGAATTTAGAATTTTAATTCTATAAGATTATTGAGATGTGCCACTCTTGTACAATACAGTTCATATAAAAATATTTCCTATTATTTCCTTAATTTCAATGCAGTACCTTAACTCCTGAGAATCACTTATATTCCACATTGACTTCTAATTTATTTGGCTGTCTTAGAAATTGGTAGTTGACATAATTTAATCAGCAATATGAAGTTGCAATATGCTGGCTGTATAGCTTGAATAATCGACAAACAAGTGACCTGGTTTGAAATCTAATAGAAATGGAAAATATCAGATGATATTTCAAATTTTTTTTTCTTTAAAAAAACATTACCCCCACACTAGGATTTTCTCCTGTATCGTGGTGGCAGTTTACAAACACATATTGCACACGGACAAACATCCAGACCCTGAACAATTATTTGCAGCATTTAAGCATTTCTCTTTCTTGATCTTGCTTCTGATTCAATCTTTAAATATTAATTACTAAAAATATCGACGTAATATAATTTTAATAAATAATAATATAATAAATTAAATAAAAATATTAAGTAGTTTTTGAAATTAAAATAAATGTTACCGTAAATACAAAAGTTTTCATAAATAAACTAAAATTGATAAATTTCATATCTTGAATCTGCAAGTGGTTGCATACTGTATCTAAATAGTAGATAAGATAATTAATAGTATACACCAGAATGAATACATAATGAACGATAAAACTATATAATGATAATTAGATGATTTCAACATTGTTGTCAAGTTTTAATTTTAAATAAGTAAATAAAGTGTAAATAAAGAAGATCAAAGAACTTTTAACCACAGTTTAAGAACAAATTTATGATCAAGGTAATAAGCTACGCTACATAATATGCAAATGATTCCAATAAAATAAAAATACGGAATCGACGCTGCTACTCATTAGAATTATCGTTATGTTTTAATTTAGGGTTAATGATAAGAATTAAGCATATGATACTCACCATACAGGAGCATTCTTTTCCTAGGTGTCAAAATATTTCTAATGCTCCAAATGTAGAACGAGCGGACAAAAATAGTTCACCCAAAATAACGAAGGCTCCCGAATGACCCAGAATCAATTAGGAAGGAGTTCTGTATATATCACTCTACACAAATTTGTATGTTAGTACTGATATAGACTTAGAACTTGAAGTTAATATGAGTAAATAAAAATGGGAAAACAATATCGAGAATTTTTGTTTTGACGTTTCCCGTATTAATTTTTTATTATGATTTTTTGGCATGGATGGTTGTCTTTTAATCCAGGTCTTCATTTTTATCTTAGTATCAAGTGATAATAATCCTTTATAGTACACTGCTTCACAATATGTTGATGTGGCATACTGCGTAATTTTTAGAAGACTTTTCCGACAACTTGAGCCAGCAGACAGTGGCGATAGTATCTCAAGGTGCCCCTTATCTTGAGATTCACATCATAATCGGGGCATTGGTTTCATCGTTTTCTCAAGACGTCGTCAATCTTATGAAGCGTTTATTTTTGGTTAAAATTTATGTTATATACTGTTAATATTAATATAGAACGTTTTCAATTATTTTGTTTATTTTGATATTTTACAAAGAAAAAAGTCACGTTATTGATAATTTGCATGAATTTGATAAACACATTTTTATACAAAATATTTTACATGTACGGTAGGGATTGACTCAACTATATCAAAATTAATGTCGATATTTATCTTGAATATTTATAATGAATCGATAGACTTGAACACAACAAGAAAATTAATCCTCGGCTTGCGTTCTAAAATGTAATTTTTATTTTGCCATTTGTCAAACAGATTCCCTCCAGATTCTATAATTAAAAAAATGGTTAAGGTTCATTGGACGGGTTGGTTGTAATGCAAAGAAGAACTCAACAATTTGCAGCAAACATTTTCTTGTGAAGTATAAATGAAAAAGTAAAATAAAAACAATTTTATTAAAAGAAGTCATTTCTACATTACTTGTACCATTAACTAAAATATTGTTATAATAAGACTTAGAAATTTAACTTTTAAAACTTTAGATAAATATAGATAAAGGTTGAAATTTAGAATCGTTTGGCAGGAGGGGAGGGGCAGGGGAGGGGGGGGAGCGTCCCCTTACTCCCAACACCACCCCCACTGTTCTTGAGAAAAATCAAAAAGAAAATCCCATAGACCATAACCTCAAAATGATAACCGTCTCCGCCACGAGGGGGGAAGAGGGGAGCAGAAATGTAAAAGCAGGAATGTGCCCTATCAGGGAAAGCCTCTCTACCCTTTTCTCCTTGCGGAAAAGTATAGTTTATGAGTAATGGTTTTTTTTTTTAAATCATAACCTCACTTTTTTTACACAGGAATACTGAGCCAAAATTACTTCTACAACGGCCTCGGCGTAGCAGGGAGTACAGCTCCTTCGCTCTTGCGTAGCGTAACCTTGCGTTCCGCGCCTACGGCTTTACTAAAACAGTCTAGGAGTAGGGCATACAAGGCTACGTAGAGTCGGGGCGTGCTAATTCAATTTTAGTACAGATTCGGTCAGATCAGATATCTTATCTATAAAGCCAGGTTGCCTTCGCTCCCGCCACATACTTCTAACCTATTACAACTGAAAGTATATCAGGGTGTTCAAGTATTTCTGGGCAGTTTTAAAGAATTCTGAAATAAAACAGTATAATATTATAATCATTTCTTATTTGACACTTGACAGAGAGTATAGACAGTAGAATAATGTGACACTAGTTTTACGTTCTTGTCGCACTTACACAAAATATTATGTGCTATCCAGCTTTCACAGTAATATTGCATACGTTTTCCATGTTTTACGCGTTTTAGGTGATAATAGTTTTTATTTATTTATTCGATAACGGTGCATTACCTTTTAATGTGAGTGGTATTATTATAATCGGTGACCAAACCTCTATCAAATAAAATACCTTACTCCCCCAAATTCCTGCCAAACGATTCTAAATCCAACCCTAGATAAATATAGAGACAGATTTTCATACATTATAAAACTGTACCTAGTACATTAAAGACAAAAAAAATCTTGAGATTATCCTCTTTAAGCCATTTTGAACCCAACTAAGTATCTATTTATCACCCGAAATAAATGTATAACCTTACTTAACCAACCGCACAGCCTCATGAACATACTAGTAGAATATAGATAGCATCACGCTATTTTGCCCAAGGGGTTTAGTGGAGCTTCGGAACTTCGGATTATATTCCTGTTGCGCGCCAATATTAATATCTTGTACATGGCGACACTAGTTACCACTAGTGCCCTCTAGTATCGAGGAGCAGAACTAGGAGAGTCAAGATCCTTCTAGAAATTTCGGGACCGATATATACTCGAACATTCTAGATGTTTCTACAGTAGAAGTTTCTGGAAACTATCTGAGGCCCTATATAAGGCCGGTATAGACCACGACCGATTCAGTATTGAATTGGCGATACAAGCGCATACTTATAAGCGATACAACTGCGAACTAAAGTGATCTGTAGTACAATGTGTTTTATTATTAGTGTAGTTTTAAGTTGTAATTAGTGTTCTGTAATTAAAGTGTCAATTTTGATAATTCACTCGGTAGTTTTTAATTGTCTCGAACCCCAAGCTCGTGATATTCCCAAGTCACAATGATAAAACTTTTAGCGTAGTTAGGTATAGATATTTAGTAATGATAGTATAAATTCCATAGTATTTGATACTCACAATGGTCGAAGCCCAATTCATGCTTGATGGCCGACGACGTTGTGCCGAGGTCTTAAATAGCTTGGTTAATCGCCTACAGCGTTAGTCGTGGAGAAGAGGAACTCGTGGTTAAGTAATAGCTGCGCAGATCAATAGATCTGCTGATTAAGTTGCACTTGCCGCGGTCAATCCATGAATGAGTGACCATTTTCTTAACATACCGAGATTGAGAAAATAGAGAAATATTTGTATCCTCAGACACTTAGTCCACTTTACTGTGTTAAGATCAGTATGTTTTTAAAATTCATGCAGCTAAAATGATAAGAAGTTTATTATTACCTTATACTTTTCAGGGACAGATGAAAGAATATAAACATGAAGCATGATGAAGCCTCATAATCGTATTGGCCTTTAAGCAGAGCAATCTTATTTATCTGATTCCTACAAGTTTCCTTTCTTGAATTATTAAGTTTACATTTATTCTTAAGTCGATAGTTAAATAACTTATGTTAAATAAGAAATTCCGGGGAAACTGCCCACGGCAGTAAATATTTTTCCCCAAAGATCATAGCTCGAAAATACAACTTTCCGATCTTATTATTCGGGAGTTTTTTTTTTTAAGTTTATCGGTAAATTCACCTGGGATTTTATATATTTTAATTGAATACCAACAAAAAGCAGGTAGGTTCAGCTTATTCCCAGGAACATGTTATATGAATACTTTTTAATTATTTTAGAACTATTATGGTAAAATTCTGTTAATTTTTGAAGTTATTCAACTTCATGCACTAAACACTTTTTTTAAATCCTTTTACCGCTTCCTTAACAATCATTTTCAATAGTGCTTGTAAGTAAAATATACATCACTAGCTAACGCACACAATAACAAATCAAAATTGGTCACGCGTTTTCGGGCTGTCAGGTGGTCTATACGCCAGTATATTCTAAGTCTATGTGCCAAAACTACTTACAAAGTAGGCTTGGGTAAAAAATATCGACATATTGATATTTTCTCATAAAAGCATCGATAATCAATATTTATTTTAGAGTGTCGAATTCATATCATTTTCAATATATTTGAAAATATTATATTTATTTTATAATTTAATAGACATAACATAAAACAATCATGTTGTGCTGTTGTCATTTTTTTTTCGTCACCAAAACGTCCACGCGAACGTAATTACCTAAATAGCATGACCACAGGCTATTTAGGTATTAGAATAAACCACTGACCTCTATATATACAAGTACGCGATCAGTGTAATAAACTATATAGATTTTATAAAAACTGCGCATATAATTGACGCACTACTTTTCTAAATAATGACGTCAAAATATCAAAAGTCAAAACAACTGGGCCGCTCAGAATTATTTAATTAGAATTAATTTATCTGCGGCTCTAAGCTCGAATCCAAATTTTAGTAAACCTTAAACCTTGAAAAAAGTCGTAGTTCAATGGATATTCTCTTTATAGATAACAGCAGACAGGACGAGATCCAAACTTTTTATGAAGTACGTAAAATGTTTAATAATATAAAAACATTCTAATAAGCGATCGCTGTTCGCCGAATGATGATTGGGTATACCGAGTGCAAGATTTATTTCAATGACAAACATCCATTATCATAAATGTTTGATAAAATATGATGCAAGGCAAACCGGTATGCGATGGTAGTACCTATTTTCCAACCACCGCTTATGCTACAGACTGCTGGAATATATAATGTTGTCATTATCATTTCAGCACTTCCTAAGTCCACTGGTCACAAATTATCACGGTTCTGAGCCACCTGGAACCATCGACTTCCATCATGTTTTACCAGGGTATCACGCCAAACTCCAAAATAGACACTTCCGCGCGGAAGTGGCTTCCCATCATTGCTGATTAATATTAAAACGTAGTGATTATATAATACTCTTTGATTAATATCTTTTTTAGAAGGATTAAGAGTGACGAACGAGCACACAGTCCACCTGATGGTAAGGATGATGGTCTATGGCCCATAGACCTCTTCAAGCCATGCTCAAAAATGCAGATGCGTTGTCACCCCTGAGGACTAAGATGCAATGCCTTGTTTCCAGTTAAAAGTGTCCCCGATTTTCTACGCCCTCAATACGATACACAGTAGCAGCTGTTATTACACACTGGGATTCTGTGAGAGCGTGGTCCTTCCCCAATCGAGCCCACCCATTCGTGCTACAGCCATAATATAGCAGCGCGAGTGACGAGGCGAGCGAGTCGAGGCACGAGCACAAACGTCTAAACGGTGGTTCGTCATGCGCCTCGTGTTTCGCGCGTCCGGAGCGTTTTTTCTACACGAGTCAAAGGGTAAAGAGCGGCGAGATGAACTAGTGCTTACACATTCACTTGCTAGTTCATTTCGTAGCAAACGACCAGCAAGCAACATAAAATGTTCTGAACCAACAATAAAGTTATGATGTTTTTGGAGCTTTACCAATAACATCATAACTCTCATTAAGCTAGTCATTTGCTATCCAAAGCATGCTCATCATATGAATAAGCACAAATTATGCAAAGCTTGGACTAGTACATCAGAAGTAATGAGAGTACCAGTTAAGGATTTAAAATTGAAGATAAATTCATTGATGGCTACTTTTCGTACACATCGACGCAAGAAGCTGGCATCATTAAATCTGGTGCAGGGGAGGACGAAGTGGTCTAAATAATTATACTGACTGCAAATGCAATGCAAAAACCGCTAGAATGATGACGTCGTCCATTCCGTCAAGCTGAAGTAAAAAAGAATAGACGCGAATGTGTAAACGGTCACTCGTATAGCCTAAAGACTCGCGAATATTTCGCCAAACAATTCGTCGAATAACGAGGCGAATCACGAGCACGCATGTGTAAATGCGATATTACGTAGATGATAACATTTTTGTTTGTGTTCGTAGATAATGCATCAGTTTCGAAACCATATTAAAAACTAAGAATAATTCTTAATACAATTTTCCATTCAGGCATGCCAACGTCATAGGGATTATTACAGAGGATATTCAAATTCTCGCCATCCTCTATTATACTTCAGAGAACCGAAGTACATGTGGCAATGCCCGCCGGAAATGACAACGTATGTTTATTTTGTTACTTTTGCTTTTGATGTACACGGTGAAATTGAAGTCATTGGCATCAATGTAACCTCTACTTGTATTAAAGAAAAACCTATATTAATTTTAAATGAGTAATGATTTAATTTCTATGCATGGTAGAGTCACGCTGCAGCTATATTAATAGTATAGTTAGAGCACGAATGTGTCGACTCGACCAGGGAAGGACCACGCTCTCACAGAATACCAGCGTAAAATAGCAGCTTAATGCTGCTGTGTTTCATATTATGGTGAGTAGAGAACCGGAGACCCTTTTTACTGGAAAAGAGGCATTCTATCTTAGTCCTCACGGCTGATAACGCATCTGCATTTTATTTCGCAAATGAAGATGGATGTAGATGTCTATGTGCCACAGCAACCACTTACCATCAGGTGGACTGTGTGCTCGTTTGTCACCCTTATTCTATAATGTTGAAATTATGAGATGTATGTATCTTATACTAAACCTTTTTTTCAGCACATACCTGGAGTTTCCACCATGTCATGTAAAGTATAAACAACCAGTGGTATTACCAAGTGAAAGAGGTCGGACTAGCGGTTTTCCCGCGTTGCCCGACCGCACTCTTGCTGGTCGCTATAATAAAGCCGCTTGTCAAGCCTTCATAAGATAGAGATTCTTAATAATTGAAATATAAAAATCCCAGGGATAAAATATTAAGTTTTCAAAAATTTATATGTAATAATAAAGAACACAAGTGTCTCTAACCTTTTATTCAACTTAAAGCTATTTATTTCAAATAACAGAATATGAAATACGCACAGCTGTGATATTTAATTTGGGATCCTAAATTTGCCTTTTATTATTTTATTATAATAAATGATGAGATAATAATTTAATAGGTACTTAATTAATAAAAATACTAGTACAACATATCTATATTAATACTACCTTTCTATATATAGTATCAATAAGATTAAAGCAACTGTATTATAGCTCCATCACGAATAGGTCAATTCGACCGGGGAGTTCAGAAGGACCATGCTCTCTGCGTTTCGTATGGTGATTCTATAAGAAGTAACTCTAGTTCTCTATAGAACTAGAGTTACTTCTTACAGTAAACGCGACATTACATCTTAGTTCTGCTTTTTTTATAGGATAAGGGTGACAAACGAGCACACAGTCCACCTGATGGTGTTTGCTGTGGCCCATAGACATCTACATCTGTCCTCGTTTACAAATCGAAATGCAGATACGTTGTCACCCGTGAGGACTAAGATGGAATGCCTCGTTTCCAGTACAAAGGGTTTCCGGTTCTCTAGACTCACCATATGAAACAGCAGTATTAACCTGCTATTTTACGCCGGTATTCTGTGAGAGCGTGGTAGTTCTCCGGTCGAGCTGTACCATTCATGGTGCAGCCATAATATAACGGCAACATGGCTCTACCACGTATTTAGAAAATGTTTTTCTTTCCAAGTTTATCTAGATAGATAAACCGTTACGAACGTTAACGCAACGTTAGAAAAATCTCAGGGAATATTTTTTCTAACGTTGGGTGAACCTCGCTTTAACTGGTCCCCGAGTCCAAACCTGAGGTCACTGAGGTGCTATTTATAAGCTGAAGTAGAATGATGAGTTGAACTCCGGAATCCTAGACATTAAAATTTTAAATTCGCTTAGGCCAATACCGCCGGTATTAGTTAATTTCATTTCGTCCAGGATCTGAAAAAAAGTAACATACAATATAATACATAATTATACATAGTAGTACCCCCAGACCCTCATTCGTAGACAAGAGATAACAAGCAATGATTTTTTTTTACATTTAAAAATGGCAAACAGGACTACATACTGGTGGTAGGTTGGTGAGAGGCCCGGCCGAGGGTTAGTTACCATCCACTTGGCAAAGGCATACCGCCAAATGATGCAAATCGTGTTCCGGTATTATGTTAGGTGAAACCCATTTCTTAGGGAGAATAGTTGCATTGCGTATACGAACCGGTTGCGACGCGGCCTTTTCTTAGTGTCAGGTGCCTGGTTATGGAGGTTAGCGAGATCCGAAGCAGGGTTGCACCGCTGGCCGACCGTAGATAGTTGGGGGCCCAATTATAGAGCCAGCCACTCATGAAAGGCTGCCACGCGTCTTACGAAAAATCCTGTGATGGTTCCACAATTCCGGTTGGTGACAAAAGGAGAGGGCCTGGTAGCGATTTCCAGGGGGGTTCAGACATCCCCGCGATCTCCATGCTAGGTACCATCGATCCTGTGACTCTGTTTGCATCACTAGGTTATATGTGTGACGCTTCGTCCAACTGCCATTCTCTCAACCTATTCAATTCCACCATTTATGAAAAAAAGGATAAAGAAGAGTAACTTTATACAGAGGTTGCACTCCCTCTCCATCAAAGTGCACCTCACAAACATCCAAGGCATAATCTCAATGTAGTCCATTACCACCTTGAGACTGACAAGTCACACTTACTCTTCGTGATTGAGACGCAGATCAGATGTCCTCTAGATGCGGCGCACCTTGGCTACCCCGGGTACACATTGGAGCATAATTTCCATCGGCGCGCCGGAGTATGTGTTTACGTCCGCAACGATATCTGCTGTAAGCGTCTCTGTCACCTTGAAGACCCCACTTTCACAGGAGACAACTAGGCTATTTGAACACCTCAGTGAAACCTCTGATGTGGCTATAAATCGGTACCTAATGGTGTGGATTGGCACACAGCCAACTGCCTTGACCTTCTGCTAACGATCGATTCGGACTGGTACGATGTTCAGGTTACCTCACGCTTGGGAACTTCTGACCACTGTCTTGAAATCTGTGTAATTATATTCTCCACCTAATTACGATGTCCACGGTGTGTGGCGAGTGTGGCTATACAAGTCAGCAGATTGGGATGAGATGCGGCATTTTTTTGCATCTTATCCTTGGCGGCAGGTCTGCTTCTCATCTGAAGACCCGTCGGGCTGCGCGGATGCCATAACTGATGTGATACGTCAAGCGATGGAGTATTTCATCCCCTTTGCTGACGTGCCCATTGGTGGTAAAGCTCGCCCATGTTTCAACGCAGAGTGCGCTGAAACAGCACTGAAAAGCACAAGCATATAGCGTACTTATCCTGGGTCGATGCTCGAGACCGCAAAGCTCCGGATGTTAGCCTTAAGAAGAGAGCCTTTAACCAAGCCGCCAAGTCCTGCAAAAAGGCATTACGCCAATCCAGTTTCAACCGCATTAAACGCATCGGTAAAAAGCTCTCTGTCAAACAAGCTGGAAGTAGAGCTTTTTGGTCCCTCGCCAAAGGGATCGGAAAAAAATTCTGTCTGTCTCCACTGCCTCCGCCGGTAAAACCCGATGGTTTTATGGCGCATGCGCCTAACGAGAAAGCAGACTTATTTGTTTCTCTTTTTGCTTGCAATTCGCGTCTAGACAATAGCAACAGCGTACCATCTCATTTACCTCACTGCGGTACCTCTATTTCAGAGGTCCGCATCACCAACAAAAAGCTTCTTAAAACCTTGCGAAGTCTAGACGTGAACAAAGCTAGTGGACCTGATGGTATACCAGCTATAGTTCTAAAGGTCTATTAATCTGAGTTGTCTCCTGTGTTGACACGCTTGTTCCGCCTCTCATTCAGGACTGAAATAGTGCCCAAATCTTGGAAGAAAAAAGGTAGCCGTACCGGCCCTGTCAACCTACCTACCTAATAATAAAACCTACCTCCATACTCTGCAAGATTATGGAGCGTATATTGAACGCTCACCTTATGGCATACTTAGAACAAAATGATCTCATCAGTGACCGCCAGTACAGATTTCGCCGAAATCGACCAACTGGGGACCTTCTAGCGTATGTCACCCACATGGGGCGAAGCCCTCAAGAACAGTGGTGAAGGACTTGCTGTTTCCCTCGATGTTTCGAAGGCCTTTGACAGGGTTTGGCACGCTAGTCTATTGGGCAAGCTTTCAGCGTACGGCTTATCCCCTGGCTTGATTGTCTGGGTGAAGGACTTTCTGAGTGAACGGTCTCTCCGGGTCGTTGTCGATGGCTGCTCATCCGATACTGTAGCGACTAACGCCGGTGTTCCTCAGGGGTCCGTTCTCTCCCCAACTCTCTTCCTGCTGCATGTAAATGATCTGCTCATTCCTGGTATCTATGGGTATGCAGACGATAGCACAGTTGTGGAGAGACCAGAGAGAACTAAGTGCCCGGGCCAGTCGGGATCAAATGCAATCAGAAAGAGAGGTTATGGTTGAGCGTGTTAATCTCACTCAGGTTCATTGAGTCCAGAGCCAAAGCAGCCGCAAGGAAACTTGGTGTCCTTGCAAGGGTGCGGCGGTAATTCACGCCGGGGTAGCTTCTTACCTTATATAAAGCGCAAGTCAGATCGTGCATGGAGGAGTAATGCTGTCGCATATGAGCTGGTGCTGCAAAATGCCATCTAGCTGCGTTGGACTCAGTGGAGAGACGTTCTAAGAGGCTCATTGGTGACCTTGATTTGGTTGAAACCAATCTTGTCAGCCTCGAGCACAGGCGCAGAGTAGCCAATCTCTCTGTATTCTATAGGATGCATTTCGGCGAGTGTGCGCAGGAATTACACGCATTAATTCCTCCCTCTCCTTTCCACCATCGGACAACCAGGCGGTCCGCGGGTCTCTCACCCCATTGTTGTCGATATACCACGCATTAGAACCAAAACGTTTGCTTCGCCTTTTGTAATGAGTACAGCAAAGAAGTGGAATAACTTACCGGCGTCTATCTTTCCGTCCGAATACAATCTGGGCGTCTTCAAGGCAAGAATGAATAGGCTTTTGTTACGCTAAGACAGTGCGATTTATCTTCTAGGGCTGCATCACCACTTACCACCAGTTTAAAAAAAATCTACTTACTACGTATGCAATTTTGCTTTTTGTTTCATCATCAAGACTATAACTGCGACTCTTTGAACCATTTGTCAGGCGGTCTACAATTTCACTTATATCTCTTGTTGATATTTGACTGTCTTCATCTATATCTGCCGATTGAATATAATTTATCTATATATTAAGCTAAAAGAAAATAGATACTAAATACAAATTGCTCCTTCATTAAATGGTTAAGTGGATATTTTTAAAGCCTCTTTCGAGAGCTCCTTTTATAAATTCAATATCATTAATACAAAATATATTTTACGTATACGTAACATGATATCCATAGGTATCATAAGGATTAAATTTCGTCGTGGCATATACCTATCCCCGTGTGACTGAAGAGTGGGACCCCGAAAAACACATGGTTACAACAGAGGATCGGCGCGATCGGTTAACCACAACCCTCACAATAAATGCGTAAAGTACCGTATAAGTGTAAAGAAACGGAGACCCTTTTTATTGGTAACGAGGTATTCTTTCTTAGTCCTTGAGATAAATGACGGATCTACATTTTTTAAGGTTCCGTACCTCAAAAGGAAAAAACGGAACCTTTATAGGATCACTTTGTTGTCCGTCTGTCTGTCTGTCAAGACCCATTTTCTCAGGAACGCGTGGAGGTATCAAGCTGAAATACATATCAAATACTCAAGTCTATTGTCCCTTAGAGCTGTGAAAAAATCAAACTTCTAAGCTAACGCAATCAAAAGATACAGCCGTTTATGCCGTAAATTTTCGACATTCGCAAGAGAATCA